GAAATTGGCAATTCCAGGTCTAAAATTATCCAAAGGATTCTTGTGAAGGTGTAGGGAGTTTAAAAACAGTGGAGCACTTCCTGTATTACCACATGACATCAAGAGTCTTCTCTGTTGGAGAGAAGAACTCAGCCTAAATATGCAGGATTTGTGTGTTAAACATGTGAGGAATGAAGGAAAAAAAAACAAAAACACAACTCCAAGTATGTTTGTGATGAGGAAACAACATTGTTAGGTTTATCTAAACATTGTAAACAAGAAGAAAGACAAGAGATTAATTCAGTTTTACTCGCGAGGAGAACGGGCAGAGAGTGGGCATTAAAACCAACAGTCTCCACACGTTCTGATGCCTCAAGGCCGCTTCTCCTCTTTTTATTTCATTAGGAGGCCCTAGTTACAGAATGATAATTCTCAAGGGGAAGGGGAAACAGTAAAGACATAATAAGAAACTGATGAAGCTATGCATAGTATAAACACATAAAACATGATTAACAATCAGGAGGTGCCTTAGGTATGGTCAGACACCATCATAACTCTGGCATGTGTGACAGTGGGAGTTGGCTTCATGTGAGGAATCATCTCGAGGTTCACAAGAGTGATAGGACACTGCACACAGTTGTCAAACACAAAGAGGTTATTCATTTTCATACAAGTGATTGGTACATTATAAATCAAAGAATTGTAGTACATAAATGGTTAACTCATAGGCATAGAATATCACACAAGCATTTAGCAAATATGGGATAATAAAATTATTTTGACAAAAGTCATAGCATGGATAGGAATAGAGCATAATATGGGCCCTGAAAATATAGATTAATTTGAGCACGACTCGGCTCGTGTCACTACACAATTAATGGAGCAGGTTTGATAGAAAGTGGAACAATGGCTCAGTGAGTAGTTCCTCATTTAGTTTCCATTTCCAGTGAACCGTAATAAATGAATGTTACACAATGGTGCTGCTCAGGGTTCACTTTTACCATCAGATTTCTTGAAAATATTAAATGGTCACATTTTTCTATAGCGCTTTTCCACCTTCAAGGCACTCAAAGCGCTTTACAACAAGGAACCACTCACCCATTCACACACACATTCACACACCAGTGTACACAGACTCTGTGGGCAAGGTGGGTTCTGTGGATCAGTGGGTCAGTGGATCAGTGGATCTGACCGCTCAACCTGTGATGTTTATGTCGAGAGCTGGATTCGAACCACCAACCTTTAGATCAGTGGGCAAATGCTCTACCAACTGAGCTACTGCCGCCCATTAACGTGAAATGTGAGTATTTATGTTAGTGATATTTGTGATATTTTGATATTAATTATTTTTCTTGACACATTCACTGTATTTATTGCTGTTTCTACAAATAATCCTTTTGCTCTTCAGTGAACAGATTAAAAGATATTTGCAAATTTGCCTTGGCTATAAACGCTGTGATACCTGCATCGGATTACTGAAGTGTGTATCTATTTTTGTGGCTCTGTACCTATTCAGTTAAACAATAAATACATAAATTGCCAATCTCTATTGAACTAGAGGTAAAAGGAGCTGTTAACTTGAACACTACCACTATAGTTTTCATATTACAAGGTGGAACAGAGCATTTTGACCTTTCAAGATGCAGGCAGACTAATAATGAAGAGTTAGTCAAACATGTGAATGAAACAAAACACAACTCCAAGTATGTTTTTGAGGAGGTAACAACGTTATAATATGGTTTAAAGCTCACAAGAGTCAATTTTGTGCAATATAGGACCTTTAACTCTTCCCCCCGTGAAGACGACGTTTGACGACCCCTCTTGTATCCTTAATGATGTATTTTGACACCTCCGCTATATCACTAAAGACTTGATATGACGGCGGCCACCTGGACCCGTCAGCACAGAGCATGGTCACTATGATTTATGACGATTTGGCTATACTGCATCTGGTGATTTGAAATCTGTTTAAATACTTTGACAAATATATATATATAGATTTTTTTTTTAAATTAATATAGGACTCAGAACATGCATATTAGATGCTGAATGTAGTTTTTTGTTTTCGATTTTTGCACCTGACCAGGTAAACTCTCATTTTCAGTGAGCTGTTAGATACCTATAAATGAGCTGAATCACATTTTAACATCCATAAATGAAGAGTTCAGAGTCTAAGGTTTCCAGAGATACCAAATATGTCTGTGTTTCAATTAAGTTCATGAGTGTGAAAATCATTTATAATCACTCGTGGAAGTCCGTTTTCTTTTATGCAATTATGTTCTATGGGCAGCACTAGTAATATACGTATGGGTTGTTCCTAGTAGGCATCCAAGGGGGAAAGAGTTAAACAACACTGTATTAAAACAAGAATCACATTGGTTATTACTGTATGTCATCAGAGCATTCAATGATTTAGCCACACCTAAATTATTGCATTACTACTTGGACTCTGACAAACAAAACTACTCTTAAATTAGCTGAAACTATATATATAAAAATCACTTAAAGTATTAGACAAAAAGCCCACAAATTATCACTGTTGTAGAATACTTGACAAATACAAATTCCTAAATTGGGATAACACAATCAAATATGCAGATTTAATTCTAGTGTACAAAGTTTTTAATCATCTTGCTCCACCTCCTCTAAAGGAGTTTGTGAAAAGAAATTCAAATCGCACAACAAGAGCAGCTCTAGAGGTGACTGCTCTGTGTCGTTTAGGAAAAGTACCTTTGGACAACTCTCTTTTGCTAATCGAGCAGCTCAAACATGGAATACAGTGCCTGCTCATATACAAGAACTTTCAACATTGGCAGCATTTTCTAAAGCTTTAAAACTGTGGTTACTCAATGGTCAAATATGTCACCATGTTTGACCAGTTTATATTTTCTTTTGTTTTGGGGGATTGTTGGTTTAGCTCTTGACTTGATTCTTGAACTTCTGACTTTGAGCTTCAAATGAACTGTTTGAAACTAATTGTGTGTATAGTGAGTGTGCTGGTGTTGTGTACTTTTGTGTGATTGTTGCTGTACTTTTCCTCGTCCTGTAGATGATTTTACATCAACCTGCCGAGGGACTGAAGATGGAAATTAGCCAAGTTGGCTATAATCTTTACATATTTACATTTTTAATGTTCATTAATATGTACTGTCCCTTTACAAATAAATAAAATAAGAAATAACCTTTGACTGTGAAATTTTAACTAAAATGATATTTAACAACACTGTTGGGCAAGTTACTTTGAAACTGTAATGCGTTATTTATTACCTATTACTGTCATTTCAAAGTAATTCGTTACATTACAATATTACTGCATTTAAAATGTAAGGCATTACATTACTATTGCATTACTTTAAGTTACTCTCACCAAAATAACTTTTGCGCTGTATATGGACTGAACCAGGTCTAAACCAGGACTAAACCAGAGCTGAACTAGGACTAAACCAGAACTGAACTAGAACTAAACCAGAACTGAACTAGGACTAAAACAGGACTCACTGTCAGGACGGGCTCGAAGGTGACCGCAGGAGAAAGGAGCGGCTCTGCTCCGCACCTCATGGAGGTAAGAGCGGCTGTCACCCGATCGCTCTTTATGGACACTCTGCTGCTCGGGCTCGCGGCCCTGATTTCAGCAACTATTTGCAGGTACCCGAGCCGGTGCAAGAGTCTGTTACAGCGCGTAACTTCTACCTTCCTTCAGCGTGTCCAGAAGTCCAACTTTTTGTGTGATGGTTGCATCTTCCTCTGTCTTTTGGGTGCGAGCGCAGGAGCCTTTGTCGGTGCAGAACGTTTCGTCGACGTTGTGGGTTTTCGTCGGGGAGAAAACTTGCAACCGTACAGCACTTCAGAATCACACTGCTAGAGATTGAACATGTATTTAAATTTGGCAGCTGAACACGTACTGTACTGTACTGTACAGGAGACAGGAGTCCTTTGGCCAGTCAGGACGCAGCGGGAGGAACGCAATACGCATTCATACAATGTAAAAAAAAAAAAGGGCATGCAAAATTGCACAAAAAAAATAAAAAAAAAAATCTGCGAAACAGCGAGACCGCGAAAAGTGAACTGCGATAGAGGGAGGGACGAGTGTAAACCAGGTCTAAACCAGAACTGACCCAGGTCTAAACCAGAACTGACCCAGGTCTAAACCAGGTCTAAACCAGAACTGACCCAGGTCTAAACCAGGTCTAAACCAGAACTGACCCAGTTCTAAACCAGGTCTAAACCAGAACTGACCCAGGTCTAAACCAGGTCTAAACAGCGTGGAGTTCTTTGTCAGTCCTTTCACCCGCGGTTACCTGAAGGTCTATGAGGGCGCATCTCCGGCGTTTCACCGCTGCTGATATCGAGGTGATTTTAGCGAATTTGTATGAAGAAAAACCCACCACTTCAATCCAGGTTAAAAAAACATTGTAACGTGCGTTACTCACATTTGTACCGAGTAAAATATTACTATTTTTTCCCCTGTAATGCCTTACATTACTGCGTTACAGCAAAAAGTAATGCATTACTGTAATTCGTTACTTTTATAACGCGTTACTCCCAACACTGTTTAACAACAATTTATTTCCTTGCTGTGGGAAAAATCTTCCTTTCGTTGGGTTTTCCCCTTACTATGAAAAATAACATGAAAGTCTGTAATGCCATGTAGCGGAACATTGCAGGCAAATCAATAAGATATCCATAGAGATGTCCAGATGATTGGCTCTTCCCAAGAAAAGTTAGATCAGATCAGAAAGTCCCCTTTAAATTACACCTGCAGAAATTTGCTTAATAGACCAGGCATTTTGTCCAGAGTAAAGAGTTGAATAAAAACATGTATTTTATTTGTAAATTATATGGAAAATGTGCAAAGTGTGAGTGAGTGCTGTTTTTTTTTTTTTTTTTTTTTGCTAAGCTCTGGCTGTCATGTAAATTCTAGATGCAAATTATTACATTCAAGCTGTTTCTGATGCAACCTGTAAAGCAAAGAGGTGTCATGTATGTTATTCTAGAAGTGATGTGAATTAAATGAGGAACCCTGAGAGAATTAGTATTTTATTTTAAAATATTCAGAGCAAAAGTGTATTTAAATGAAGCTGTAATTATTATAAAACACACATATAAGCTACTACTTGAAGGTGCATTGTGTGACTTTTCTGGTGAAGGGCTTCATGGAAATGTTATTGCTTTGTCTGGAATGTTTCAGAACGAGGCCAAGAAGTCAGATCTGTGGAGAGGCAACCCCGCTCACAGTCAGAATGTGTGTTTCTCTAGGTATTTTTTAGCTATAAAACTTGAATAAATGTAAGGCGGAGCTGTTTAAAGTCATACTATGGAACATTCCAGGCAGAGCAATGACATATCCATAGAAACAAGAAGATGATGGACCACAAACCAAAAAGTTACACACACATAGAGCATCTTTAAGTAAAATCTTAGACATTTACAGTTGAAATAAATCAGGGGACGTCTAGCTGTGGTGTGTCGTGACAAAAACTGTGCTTTGGGTGGTGTGGTTTTGTCTGATTTTCAGCTCTCGGCTCATCTGACACCACACGCAAGGATAGCAGCACATCACTTTACAGCAGTCATCACACCCAGAGCCCTGCAGAGAGAGAGACAGGACATATGACGCAAATCTCACCTCAACAAAGATGTAAATGGCTAGTGGTGGATGTAGTACTCAATTTTGTTATTTAAGTACAGATACAGATACCAGAGCAAAAAGGATACTCAAGTAAAAGTATCACATAAAAAAAAAATCTACTTAAATAAAACTATTGAAGTGCCTGTTTAAAAATGTACTTTAAGAGTAAAAAGACATTTTTTGAGAACTAAATCATAAAATATAGAGATTAAGTGCATCTTATTGAATGAGACATTTCTAACTTAATTCATGTGCAAAAAGCAAAAAGTGCCAAAAAGTGGTAAAAGTGTGAAAACTGCACTTCCTGTGGAGAAATAGAGGCATATCTCACACATATGAGTGCAAGCACAGCAGATGCATTCTTACTCAAGTTTATGAGAAATCATAATTTTAATTTAGGGAAGTAAAAGTAACTGTGGAATGTGTAGAGTATAAAGAAAGTGAAACTGTCTCTGTTAGGCCTACCTTAAAATATTTAGAGTCTTAGAGTCCCACCACTTTGGCTGTTAGTAGTATTAGTGATATTAACTGTTTATCACAAAAGCTACTCTGTCTGATGTGATGTAACGTAAAGTAAAAGTAAAGTAAAGTCCTCCCGGTCTTACTGGGATGTTGTAGCGCTCCCGGATGCCTCCTCGGAGCATACAGGACACAACACCACAGAAGTCCAGCAATGGCATCGCGCAGCACCAGCCATACTCCTGGGCAGTTTGACACTGGAGGCAGGGGAAGCACCAGTAGCCACAGCAGCCTGAAAGAGAGTAAAAACAAAGAGATATGTAAAAATATTAAACAACAACAACAACACTAGAAACAAATAAATGAAACAAAACCAGGGCTCTGTCTTACATGTGCCCATGTCACTGCAGCAGTCGCATAAGCCCGTGCTCCATGTCCCAGGCGCGCTCGAGGCTGTGGTCACAGACACGACGTGGCCGGGCTGCTGGGAAACGGCCATTTCTGACAAAAAGCAAACAAAAAAATTCAATACTTTATTCACACGTTTACATTTTTTCCCCACAATTTTTATACTTTTAAGCTTACAAAGTTTTTCTAGGAAAACAGTGAAAACATGAAAAGTGAATCTAATTAGATAGCTAACGTTCTAAAGTCCTCGTTACGGAAAAAATCTGTGTTTGATCTGAGCTAAAACAACTGTGGGCTAACGTTTTTAATTATCAAAATGCTCCTGTAAATGCCAATAAAAGTTTTTTCCCCGCGGAGACTTCGAGATGTCGTTGAAATAAAATAACTGGCTCGATGCTAGAGGCTTTTTCTTGAACAGAAGTCATAATAACCTTTTTAAAATACAACATTTCATAATTATATAGTAATAACAAATGTGATCATTTGTTGTTCATACCTTCTTTCGTTGTCCTTAGCGTGATATCAATAACTGTAAGTCTGAAGTGAGGCGGAGGAAGTGCAGGTTTCAGACCGTGAACAGTCAGGTACAGTCATATATAGAGTGCGGGGGCGGACGCACTTTCACCTGCGAGTCACTCAAACTTTTTTTATTAGCAAGTATTACTTTGCTTTATTGGGAATATTCATTTTACTGTGGAACCATAAAAGTAGACCTAACAACCACAGACTACGTATACATAATTATATTCTATATACATGTATTCTTTGTGCGGTCTATGTTAATATCCACCCTAGTCCCATGATAACCACATATCCGTGGAGAAGTCATGGGGAAGAGCTATAGCGCCCCCGTGTGGACTAGCCACGTGGGTTTAACGTGGGTGGAGTTTATAATCTGGTGGAGCTATAGGAATAACTGAGGTAATATGAATTATAAACTCGAGATTTTGAGTAACCTAATTAAACATAACAGGCACAGAAAGACATTTTTTCAACACAGTTTTAAAAGTTTTAAATGGCCCTTAACCTTTACGTTACTTTTAGTTTACAAGGTCGAACAAGTAACTTAATTTTAAGAATCGAAATAGTGTTTGTAAGACCTGGCTGTTGTTAGTTTAGGCATGTTTATGTAATACGGTACACACAGTCTTTGGTACACAGCAACCGTGTGTGTGACAAGAGCCGTCCTCTCAGTATCTTCACTTTTGGACACGTGACAGTTCAAGTGAAAGGAGGCCATGTCTCTGTTGTCAGTCTGAGGCGCGCAGAAGATGAACATGAAGACAAGAAGCGGAATTCTCCTCCTTCATCTGCGGATATCTCTTTGTACAACCAGAGTCATCCAACCCAAATCTGGGAAATACTGATATGTTCAACAACAGCAGCAGGCCTATCAGCGCAGCCGAGGCAACGGACTACACGTGTGTGCGTTTCTACGTGTCTGCGCTGTCCTTCTCAGTACTGCTCTTCTTCAACCTCATCATCAATTGGACCATCATCCGCGTGGAGAGGCTTCGGACCCACGCGCGCTTTGTGCTGCTCTTTCACCTTCTTGTCTCGGCGCTGCTCCACCTGGGCACGAGTTCGGTTTTCTATTTACAGATGCACCGGCACGCACAGCTGCACCACTCCGCGTGCGTGGCTATAGTCACTGTGCTCATCAGCAGCGCGTCCAACATCCTGCTAACGCTCACGGCCATGGCGCTTGACCGCTACTGCGCCGTGTGTCACCCTCTGCGCTACACTTCTGCGCGCGCCTGTGCCCTGTGGCCGTGGCTGTGTGGCGCGTGTACGTGGGTCATAGCTCTGGTCATTCCTCTGAGTTTGATACAGCCGTCCGAGCGCTCTGCCAGCCCCAGCGGAGAGTGCGGCCATAAGCAGCTGCGTAAAGGCGAGCTGCACAAGGTACTTTTCCTGTCCGCGTGCACGCTGCTCATCCTCTACAGTTACGCACGGATCCTGGTGGAGACCCGGCGTCTGGGGGTGTTAAATAGGCGCAACAGGAAGGGTTGTCGGACAATAGCACTGCATGGCTCACAACTGGCCGTGTACATCCTCCCAAACTTTGTCAACTTTATTCTGTCTTTGCTTCTCACATATAAGCTGATCAGACCGGACACTAAGGAACTGTCTGCTGTGGTTATATTTGTCTTTTTTAGTTTGGCGCAATGCATTGCGCCAGTGGTCTATGGTTTGCGCAAAGAGGAGCTAATGGAGGAACTAAGTCACAGGTTTCCGTGCTGTATAGGGCATCTAAAGAGAGTTCTGGGATGGACTGTGATGGCCACCTGGACCCCACGTCAGCAGAGAGCAAGGTCACTATGATTTTTCTTTAGGCTTCTTTTGTCTTTTTGTTAAACCTATGCCCATCTGTCTAAATCTATTAAAAATACTAACGTGAAAATCTCCTTCCTTTATACAGGGAGCGGACGCTGACCGCTCAGACCATTGTGTCACTGGAGATCCCCGAGGCCCCGCGGCCAGAGCTACAGGATCAGACGGGGCCCATGCTGAGACCAGGTCCCTCGGGTGAACTGCAGGCAGAGGACGCAGCTCAGTGTTTGGACCTAAACCTCAATGATGGACAATGAAGACATATCTGAGACATTTTGAATTCTTGCAGTTTTTTTCTGGCTGGTCCAGACGTATCTGCATACTGTCTAAAAGGGACGTGAGAAAGAACCAACGGCAAATGCTTGAATCAAAGTTTGGAAGGGAATTTCTCACAGAGCTCTCAGGCTGTGGTAACTGCACAAAGGCTGATTTTGCATCTGTGCGTGTAAGTTACAGTCATCCCGGACCCGCGCTTTACTCTGGAAGCGCGAGGCTGCAGAAGTGAAACCGACATGCAAGTTTAAAAACAGCAAATGTACGAGATGATGCAGATAGACGCCTTTAAGGTTTAACAGAGCAATGTTTATTCGTATTTAAAAGGTTACAAAAAGAAGTCAAAGGAATTGTTCTTATTAACAGCTACATTTACAGGCAATGTTTGTATACAGTGGAAGGCAACAATGCATTTTCATTTCAGACACCAAATATAAATAAATATGTAATAAATGTGGAGGCAACCCAGCTCACAGTCAGAATTTATGTTTTTCCAGATATTATTGAACTATAAAACCACCTGTAATTGAATACATGTAAATTAGAGCTGTTTAATGCCATACTGTCAAACATTCCAAGCAGAGCAATGACACATCCATAGAAACAAGCAGGTGACAGTCCCTCCACTTGAAAAGTTACACAATGTACCTTTAAATACAGCGAGAAGTCAGCTGCAATTAGTTACAACTCTGAGCACATTCGGTGAGCACACTGTTGACCATCACAGAAAAAGTAGCTCTAATCAAAAAGACGGTTGCAGTTTTTCCAGCAGGTTTGTAATGCAGAGGGTTTGATCATAACAATCTCTATACTGATGAAGTGTAGGCTTTTTATACAGGAAATACAGTTTAATACATTGGCAATAGATGTGCATGATATTGTAATTATGCAGAATTAAGGATGATGGATTAAAGGTTCTATTTTACACAAGATTGACTCTTGTGAGTTTTTAGTCATGTTATAATGCTGTTGCCTTCTCAAAAACATAAATGGAGTTGAGTTGTGTTTTGTTTCATTCACACGTTTGATTAATCCTTGCATTACTGTCTACATCTTCAGTGGTACTTTTTACATTTAGGCTAAAAATATTAGTCAAGTGTATTGAGTGTAAAAACACAGTGGAGCACTTCCTGTATTACCACATGATATCACAAGGTGAAATGGGGTGTTTTCAGCTTGAGAAAAGGACTCGGATTTGTGTGTTAAACGTGAACAAAACAATATACAACTCCAGGTATGTTTGTGATGAGGAAACTATTATAACAGATTAGAAAATAGCGCAATGATTACTTTAAGTAATTATCAAAGGAATTCTAATATGTTACTCTGGTGATTTGTTTAGATTACATTATTCGGCATCTCTTATTAACCAACAAATTTAAATCAAACGCCAATAAAAGAACTGCAAAATGAGCACAAGTCAAAGTTAAAATAGAAAGTTTTTTACCCCATATCTTGTTTTGTGGGTTAGACATAAAGAGTTATAGTCTGTGGTAGGTCCAAACTGAAGTGTGTAGTTAGAATCCTAGTGGGTGAACAGAGACCACTCCACCATTTTCCACCATAGCAGCAGATACAGCCTTCAGGTTACGAAACACCTGTCTGGACTCACTGGAGCGAATGTTTTTGATATCTCTCATCACTCTCTCATGGGCCTGGAAAGAAAAATAAGATGGCTCTATGTTAGTTTTGATAATTTACAAAATCTGATTACAGCTTTGGTGGATGAAGTATTCCACTTTGTCACTTAAGAAAAAGTACAGATATATAGGTAAAAAGTTACTCAAGTAAAAGTAAAAGTACCACTTGAAAAAAAATCTACTTAAAAAGGTGCACTGTTCAGCTTTTCTGTTCGCTAGGTTCACTACTTGCTTGTCCCCATGGAGATGTTGTTGCTTTCCATGGAATGTTCCATGGTATGACATTAAACATATCCATCTAGCATTTATTTATTATGGGTGTATCTATTGCTCAAAAATACAATAATTCTTTCTGTGAATAGGGGCGACTCTCCACAGATCTGAACTGTATGTAGTGCGTAACCCGCTTGTCTACCTCATGATAAAGGTTTAATCTGTACTGTGGAACATTCTAAACTAAGCAGTAACATCTCCATGGAGACAAGCAGGTGGCAGACCCTCCACTACAAATGTACATAGTACATACATAGTGTACCTTGAAGTAAAAGTATTAAAGGACCAGTATAAAAATGTACTTTAAGAGTAAAAAGTAGAAGTATTTCACATAAGTGTTATTTTGTTAAAATACAGTGATACTGATATAATAAATTATACAGATTTTGGTTAGCAGTGGCAATATGAATCAAATTCTTAATTTCATTCGTGAATTTTGTGTTTATCAAGCCCAAGCTTGAATTCAAACATGGTAAAAATAACCCCTAAAATCACATGAAAAGTACGTTTACATTTCATTCTATTCAAAAAGTACCTAAAAACAGTACAGTACTTTGGAGATGTTTTACTTTGCCTTGAATGTTCCACAGTATGGCATTAAACTCATATCTGCATGGAGAGCCAGCGACACAGCAAAGCCAAGTTAGTTTTCAGGTATTTTGAGCAATCAAAACAGCCATAATAAAAAAAAATAAAAAAAACGCTTAACAGATAAAATTATGTAGAACATTAAAAGTCCTATATTACACAAAATGGATTCTTGTGCCATGTTAGAATGTTATCACCTCCTCAAAAACATACCTAGAGTTGTGTTTTGTTTACACATGTCTAGCAAAGGTGTATGGAGTTTAAAAACACAGTGGAGGACTTCTTGTATTACCACGTGACATCACAAGGTTTCTGCTGGAGAAAACTAAACTAAAAGCCTAAATATGCAGGATTTGTGTGTAAAACATGTCTGAATGACACAGCAACAGGTTTGTTCTGATAAGGAAATAACATTATAACATAGATGATAAAACAGCGTTATACGGGCCCTTTAAAGTCAAAGCAATAACATCTCCATGGAGACAAACGAGCATACCTTTAACTAACTTGCTTACTCGTTTTAATTTGCAATAGACCAGAAACAGTCAATGTTATTGCATCACTTTATATTATTTATAAATACTGGGTATGTCATAAATCATTGTAATTTCCTGCAGACATAGCTAACTCACCTCAATGCACCAAGTCTCACAGAGCATCTTCTCGTGCTGAGCGGAGGCGTTGCCCTGACTCAGAGAACGAGAAGCCCTGAAGAGGAAGTGGGAGAGAAATGTTTACCATAAGAGCTAAAAATGGACTTTGAATTGTGTGTTTTGAGATGTGCTACTTACCTAGACAAAACCACCACCATAGTATAGATGTCAATAGCCCAGTCAGCCACCCTCTTCAGAACAAACTGCTCCTCTGTTACAAAAATCTGTTAATTTTCCTTATAACCTCTTGTATATAACTGATATATTGTATCTATATTACTATATTTCTGTTCAGTTTTTTTTTTTACTTAACTTGTACATATATTTTATATAATTATGCCTTATCTGACACTAGTCTCTTGCTATTTTTTATTGCTACTAATTTAGAATTTTTATTACCATTTTTATATTTTTACTCATTTTTATATTACACCAGGTAATTTCCCTAATGGATCAATAAAGTTTGTCTAAGTCTAACTCTGAGTCCAATAATCCTACTACTAGGGTTGTCAAGGTATCGAAAATTAGATTCTAAATTGATACTAAAACTAGTATCAAAACTACATACTCATTTGAGCAGGTATTTATACTAAAAAAGAGCACAAACATACACAGGACAAAAATGAACCTTTTCTGAATAATTTTAGAATGATCTTGAGCTGTATCAGAGCAAGTATACGAGCACATAGACTAGTATACACCTACACACAATGCATAGGACAACACTGGCTACTACTACAACTATCGATAAAATCTTGCCTGTTTTTCCAGTGTGGTTTTTAATTACAAACGGCAAATAAACAAACTTGCCAATGATATTTTTCCCATGTTTGATCAGCAGCTCCTCCACGGCCGTCCCAAATTGCTCAATAGCTTGTACAGCCTGGAAAGAAAAACAATGTAAAATAAATATTGGCCTAAGAGCTATTATAAGAGTGTGAGATGTCAATAGGGGGATATAAGTCCTACCAGATCACCACTTTTAGCCAGATCAGGGTGGATGTGACCTTGAAGAGTCAGACCAGTGCCCAAACCAGCCTTTCTGTAAAGACAACACAAAATGCAACTGTTAACAAATATAAAAAAATAAAAGTGTAAAAAGGTACGGAGCTCAACAGTGACTGCCAACCCCCCCGGTTCTGGAAGTACAGCAAATTTTTCTCATAGTCATTCTGGGAAAAAATACAAATTTGAACATTGACTTGTGATTCATTTCATTTACTCATGTTTGCATAACCCTTTATTGTTAGTCTGTCCACGTCTCCAGTATAGGTGAAGGTGTATGGAGTTTAAAAAAGACAGTGGAGCACCTGTATTACCATGAGTGTTTTCAGTTTGAGAGAAGTACTTAGCCCAAATATGCAGGGTTTGTGTGTTAAAAGTGTGAATAAAAAAAAACAAAACACAGCAGGTATCTTTTTGATGAGGAAAAACCTTTAACCTTTTGACTCTCTTGGTGATCTCTCCAGCGAACAGACCAGCATTTCCTATGGGGTTCTTGAGGGCTTTCTGCAGAGCCTTGAGTTGGTTACCTGCACTCTGGAAGAAAAAGAAAGAAATGTATCTGATAAGGTTTACGGTTTGTTTGTTGATGGTTCATCCTCCGAGAAATGCCAAGCCATCTGTGTCAACATGTACTCAGTCAATGTATTCAATAAGAAGATATGTGATGCTAAAGCAATAGATGTAGATGATGCGTAAAATAGTCTCAGAGGAAGTTGCTTTAAACAACCCGTGTGTGGCAAGAGTGTGCCCAAACAGAACAGCAAAAATACTTCCTTACTTCTTGACACGTCTCTGTGTAACCACAAAAAACACTTCCTCACTTCTTCACGTGTGTGTGCGCGTCTCCATGTGTGTCTGTGTGTATGTGTACTTGGTTATGTGTGTGTGTGTGTGAACTGGGGCTAAAATGTTTTACCTGGAAGCCATTGAGAGCCACGAACAGCCTGAGAATGTCATTGGTTCCCTCAAAAATACGGAAAATTCTCAAATCTCTCATTACTCTCTCAACACCGGAATCCTTAAAAAAAAAAAAAATACACAAAAAAAAAGGTTAGAATGATATGATTATCCATCCATTTTCTTCCACCTATCTGGGGCCGGGTTGCGAGGGCAGCAGTTTAAGCAGACTTCCTTCACCCCGGACAATTCCTCCAGCTCCTCCGGGGGTCCCAAGGTACTCCCAGCCCAGTCGAGAGACATAGTACCTCCAGTGTGTCCTGGGTCTTCTATGGGGGCCTCCTACCGGTGGGACATGCCCAGAACACCTATCCAGGGAGGCGTTCAGGAGGCATCCGGAACAGATGCCTAGCCACCTCAATTGGCTCCTTTCGATGTGGAGGAGCAACGGTTCTACTCCGAGCTCCTCCCATGTGATTGAGCTTCTTATCCTATCTCTAAGGGAGCACGGCATGGGTAGTTTTGTGTTTTAGTTTTAGTTTTTGCTTGAGTAATGGAGAAAAGAGGCAGCCACTGTCTGTGTGAATATTCATGTATGTTAAATAATCACGATTAAGTCACTCCCTTAATTATATGATTATTTGGGATATAAGCAGTAGGGCTGGGAATCACAGCATACCTCAAGATTCAATAGGATACAAGATACATGGATGTCAATATGATATTATCACGATACAGAGATCTGGGATAAATTGATACTTTGCAGTGACATCATGCTGGGGGTGCTATAATGCATTTCCACTGCCGGAATGCTCAGTAGTTTCCATGGTGACAATGCACACATTAGCAAACACGGATAAAAATGTTTTAGGATTTAAACAACACATTTTCAGGAGCCTGTGATCCATACGAGCATTCATGGTCCTGTTCAGGTGTTTGACAAAAGTACTGTTGGTTAATGCTAACTAGCTTGTGACTATGTTATTTGAGAGGGACTTGTTTAACAGCACAATTCAGATCAGACGTTATAGTTCCAACTAAATCAGATCTTTCTAGTCAGATTATGTTAAAACATCAGATTAAGCCTAATCTGAGTAACAGTGTTGGAGACAGAGCAATGCCTACAGTTAGCATCACATCCCCAAGGAAAGTTGATCACATCAACTGCAATGTATCAGTGCTGTTTTTTAAAGAACCAAATACATTTTAGAAACAATATTTCTCTGTTAAACCACTATTTGTACAAAGCTAATATGAAATACATCTGTTTTAATCTTCAAAACAGTGCATATGTCAAGTGTATTGCATAAACAAACTAGATGAAACAAGTTTACAAGCAACAAAACAGTAGTGCAGTCACACAAAATTGCTAAAAGATACCAAAAGAATCTTCTTACATAAATTTGTTTATTTGTCTCAAAATGGGGAAATTCTTAAGAAGTCTATAAGGGAAGGCTGACTGAAACAGGAAATAATTTCAATGTTTCAAAATGTTGCTTTATTTAGAAATGTAGCAAATTATGGGCAATAAAACACAAGAGAAAAATTATATCATACATTTTTGAATGTTTAAGCCTGGTACAATTTGTACACTGACTTCCTGTATGTCTCACAAGCCTACCGTTTTTGACCTAGCGTCTTTGTTTTTGTCAGTCATCTTCCTTTTGTGGTTATAAAGCATGACCGCTGTGACAGACAATAAATGAAAACACAGAACCTGAACTGTGTATACTTCATAATATTAAACTTATTTTGTTACTCAATAGAATAACATGGTTGCAATGTAAAAGCATCTTTTATTTAAAGGTCCTATATGACACAAAATAAACTCTTCTGAACCATGTCATAATCTTGTTACCTCCTCAAAAACACAGAAGATGTGTTTCTTTCACATATGTTTATAAATTAACAGTGACCTTTACCTTTAGTTTAACATAGATTGTAAATTCCATGAAATCATTCAAATGATTCTAGTGAAGGTGTATGGAGTTTAAAAACACACTCGAACACTTCCTGTATAAGCACATGACATCATAAGGTGGAACAGAGCGTTTTCAGTTTGAGAGAAGAATTCAGCCCAAATATGCAGAGTTTGTGTGTTAAAAATGTGTGGATGAAATAAAACACAACTCCAGATATGTTTGTGATGAGGAAACAACATTATATAAATTCTATTTTATATAACTCCCCCCCCCCACACTCCGCTTTCCTGCCTGATAATGAGGCAAAGATTGCAGATATTACCCACACTGGCAGTACTTTTAAACGCCACAGTGGTCACAGATTGGTTCAGATGCCATCACCATGTATGTGTTTGTACCGTCCCACTCCAGTCTCCAGTAGCGAAGTACAGCCCTACCTGGACATGCCCCCAGCATGCCCCCATGCCTGGTGCATTAGCACCAGCACTAATGTTAAGATTGGGGGTAAGATCAGGCCCCTTATTGTGTTGTCTGTAATGTTTCACAGTATGACATTAAACCTTTCCTTCTTCATGGAGACCAAACTAGAGGACTTTACAGGTCAGATCTGTGGAGAGGCAACCCCACTCACAGTCAGAATACCTGTTTTTCTTGGTATTTTTGAGCTATAAAACAACCTGTAATTAAATAAATGCAAAGTAGAACCATTTAATGTCATACTATGGAACATTCCAGGCAGAGCAATGACATATCCAGAGAAACAAGCAGGAGATGGCCCCCGACCAAAAAGTTACATAGGGGACACTTAAGTAAGACAGAGCTGTTTAATGTCATAATGCGGAATATTTCAGGCAGAGTAGATGTGATGGACCCTCCACCAGAAAAGTTACACACTACACCTTTAAGTAAAATCAACAGGGGGGAAAAAAGAAATTATCTTGAAATTTACACTGACCTTCATGTATCCCATCCCACCCATGACCTGGATGCACTCGTCAGTCACTATCCACGCAGCTTCCTGAGAAAAAACAAATCACAAAACACTTAAATAGAATGTGAAATTACTTGTATACATTATAACACGCAATGATTTTTTTTTTACTATTACAATTTTTTTATTCTTATTTTTTAAATACACCAGATATTGTGTGTTCTTAATAAAGATTAAACCGAATTGTAACCGTAGCAACTTTAATCCGTGAGTTTGAAAGTCACTTACTGAGGCAAAGATCTTGCTGATGGCTGCTTCAATCTGGAACTCAGTCGCTCCACTGTCCATGTTACCACTGACCATGTAGGCCAGAGACTGTAAGCAAATTATTATTATTACTATTACTATTACTATTACTATTATATTAAGAAATGAAAAGAGAAACAAAGAGATGATGATTCAACACTGGCAATAACTTTCAGTCTAACAGGAAAAGAGGAAATATATTTTAAAAGTCATACAGCTAATATATTTTGGAGATTTTGGCAAACGACAAGATTGTAGAAGATTTTTAGTTTAGAATAATTTAATTTACCAGATTACAGAAACAATTTTTTACTTATTATTTTGCACCTCTTTTTAAAATTTTTCATTTAGTTTACCAAATTACAGAACAATTTATTATTATTTTTTACCTCTGTAACATACTGAAGCATTGCCATTCTTGCCAACTTCTCCTGGATGGTACCAAACGTATGGATTTTGCTGCCGAACTGGGTCCTATTGGCTGCATGGTCCACCTGATTTAAAATTCAAAAATACTGTAAATAAAGAGGCGAAATATGGAGGCGAAATATGTAAATAAGGAGGAGAAATATGTTAAAATGTTGGTTCTTCATCAAAAACATACCTGGAGTTATCCCTATATGGCATCACAAAGTGGAATGGAGCATTTTAAGCACTGGAGATGTAGATAGACTTAATAATAAAGGATTACTCAAACAAGTTTGAATGAAACAAAACACAACTCCAGGTATGTTTTTGATGAGAAGAAAATTAAAGTAAAGTTCACAAGAATCCATTTTGTGTAATACAGGATCTTGAAAGTACAAAGAGATTCTCTTGGCGAGGTATCTCAGAACCAATAAACTTACACAACTACAGTCAAATATGAGTAACACAGTAATGACATAGTATGTCTTCAAGGTTATAGGATCATATAAAATTAGTACCACAAAGTAGTAAAATGCGTTAGTGTCACTAGATAAGCCTCCGTATTTGGTAACGAGGCTGAAGCCCTTTTTTCCGATGATGCATTACTGTCCAAATTTCATATTAATGTTACCACTGAAATAATAATAATACAATGCTACTACCAAGCTTTTATATTGTGGCAATTATTTTTTTTCTTTCTACCCACTAATCTTTCTCTTCAAGCTGTTGCCATCTACAGAAAATATAGAGGGGGATTTCCAATTTAACCACAGCTCTGCCAGTTGAGTGTACAAAGAGAGGTGCGAGTGAGCAGTTGCAGTAAAAGCGTGAATACAGTTTTACATACTGCTTTGGTGATGACTCCCTTCATGGTACCGGAAAGGGCAGCAGCCATGCCAAAGCGCCCGTTGTTTAAGATGTTCATGGCCACCTTGAAGCCACTGCCCACCTCCCCGAGCATGCAGTCGGCTGGCACGCGTACATTATCAAAGTACACCTCCGCTGTGTTCGAAGCCTTGATGCCCATCTTCTTCTCCGGGGGCCCACTGGGATAAACAGAGCAACATAATTGATACTTTGCAGCTGATGACATCAATATTCCGTGGGGGGGGTGTGATGCACTATTCTATTTAGAAGCTCTGTTACTCAACTTAGACTTTAATCTGAGCTTTGTTTTGACACAATCACATGGTTTATTGGAACTACAACAGATGAGATGATTTGTGCTGTTAAACAAATCTCCCACACATAAAATGACAGTCATCAGCTAGCTAGCATTAGGCAACAGTTTTTCAGTTAGTCATGCTAATCTTTTTTGCTGAAAAGATGAGCATGAAAACCTTTTCTTGAGTTTTCAGAGTGTCTTAAAATGTATTTGTCAGTGTTTGCTAATGTGTGCATTGTGTCACCATGGTAACTGCTACATGTATCTCTAATGGTGGGTGTAATGTTTAGAAAGCCCCCAGCGTGATGTAGGCTCTTTGCACAGCAGCAAGTTAGCTAACTCACTGTGTCCTAAAGCTATCAGTCAGTACTATCAAATCCTTAAACATAAAACAAGCTATTCAAATTCAGATTACTTAAACATAAAGACTAAATTAGACCAAAGACTAAATATTTTTATTTGTAGAATACTTCAGTTTGTGGTGTTGTGTTATGCCTCAAAATTAGTATTAATGTTAGCACTGAGCATTGAGCATTAAAGTTAGCAAACATCTCTCTTTCTAAACAAAGAAATCCGTCCTAGTGATGGGCCAAACGAGTCAACGCATCAACACGGGTCGAGCTCATAGACTGTACAAAGAAGTGGACTAAGCAAGTGTTTGGCTCCACAGGACCACAGAGAAACCGAACATAGGCCTGTTCTGTGTGGGCTCCTTTTAATCCCAGTTTTAGTCCCAAGTGGAGCTCATAACAGATTTACTGAAAAAAATATAATTTCACTATCATTTTCACAACCATTCATTTTGTCATGTATCCCATTTTTTCTGACTTTATTATAGAAGAGGCTGTGATTTGCTTTAAGGAGATTGCATCACCTTCTTGGTTCTGTCATTTGTTGGATATCAGAGCATCTATGACAAACGAGTGTTTGCGTGTTTGAATGAATGAACCTGCGTAGGAAGCAGTTCATTTTATAAACCACCAGATGGAACTACAGAATGCACCAATGTGACAGTGTCGGAAATGTTTTAAACACACTTTGAGGCCTCATCTAATTATCACAACTTTGTCCTTCGTTTTATTTTTGTAGCTTTTAACATGTTTGCAGTGACCACCACCCGCAGCTTCCTCTGCACTGCCTGATCTTAAAATATAAATTCATTTTTTGCACGACTAAGCAAAATGCCCAAAGAGAGAAAACTGGACAGGAAGTAGTGAAACCAACAGTGTGGTTACCAGGGTCTACTGTACACAGAGCCTATAGCAATGAAAGTGGGAGATTTCTGAATGAAAAAACTCATTCTTACTGTGTTATGCCTCCAAAGCTCCTCTCAACAATAAAGGCAGTGATCTTATCCTTCATCTCCCCTGTGTTTGGGTCCTTCATGGGTGTCTTGGCAAATACTGTGAAAATCTCTGCCAGGCCCCCATTGCTTGAAAAGGAAAGGGAAGTGCAGACTGTTAGCATCTTTTGTCCATGTTGATGAATACTGCCCTCTTGTGGTATAAAAGTGTACAGCAGCAGTGTACTCACCTGATCCAGATTTTGCTGCCGTTTAAGGTGAAGTATGTTCCACAGGGAGACTGCACTGCTGTGGTTTTAATAGAGGCTGCATCAGAGCCACTGGCAGGTTCAGTCAGACAGAAGGCTGCTATGTTTTCACCTACAAACAAACATTTGGCATTTAAAAGTGACTATTTCAAATATGACATCTCTGTAGATTATGATTACTTTGTTATATTCAAAGTTATATATTATATATTATGTTATATATTATATTCATGTGGAAAGTGTACAACCTTCTGGACAATTACTGGTGCTCACCGGTGTTGTCACAATACAAAACTTTTAAACTTGATTTGATACCAAGTAAACAGCACAGTATTTTTAAAATTATACTTGACATGAGCACCCACTTTTGATATCAATTTCAATTTCAACGACTAGAATAGATTTATTTGACAACCCTCATGTGCTTACCACACTGTAGTACTACTTATACTAAAACAAGAATTAGGTCACTGAGTGACCTTTTTTTTTTTAATAGACAAGTCCTGGTTGAATGAAGTTACATAGACTAGTTCTGAACCTGTAGCTAGTTTGGGCAGATACTTCTCCTTCTGGGCAGGGTTTCCAAAAAGTAGAATTCCTTTAAAGCCAATGGACTGGTGGGCACCCAGAGTGATGCCAACCCCCAGGTCATGACTGCCTACGATCTCCACCAGCCTGGCATACTGTAAAGCATAATTTAGTTTACAAACAAAAATTACTGTAATAACACAATGAATGTGAGCATGTAGACACACCTGTGTATTGCTGAGGCCCAGTCCGTTCAGTTCGGCTGGGACCTGCAGCCCAAAGGCTCCCATCTCTTTGAGCCCCTCCATCGTGTGGTCCTCCACCTTCTCCAGTGCATCGTTCTTGGCTGGGTCATTCACCTCCTGAGACATCAGAAACAGTAAGAAAGTCAGTAAAAGAGAAAGTGTAAAAGTCAGAGAGATGAGCATTTTCACAAGCTTAGATTAGAAACATTACCTCAAAGAACTTGGCACAAGGTCCAACTAGCTCACGGAGGAACTCCTCCTGTTCTTCATTCAGAGCTGAGGCACAGAATTTGGAATCAGTGAAAAAGCTCAATTCATTGAGCATTTTAATTCAAATTCGAATTCCATACCTGAAGGATATGGAAACACCTGAGGGGTGGCGATTTGTCCTTTGAAAATATTTACAGCAAATGACTTGGATTCCTGTAAAGAAAAAAACAGAACACTATCAGTAGTTTCAGTGACATGGACAGAATTCTTGACATTTTTGTGTATAAATGTTCATTTAAAATATTTTTTCTTTTTTTCAGAAAAAATTATACAACAAAAAGGAGAATATTTTCAACTGTGTAACATAGATAAGTTGGGAGTTAATATTCAATATTAGTAAATTAAATTTTTACCATTATATAAACTTAAGTATTATATTTTAATAAAACAATAACACATACAACTGGTGCGGTCCTGGTGTCTGCTTTTGTGGCAGTGTCAGCTCCAACGGCCGCAGTCTTCTCCAACACCGCCTAAAGAGAAAATTGAACCATTCAATACAGGTTTGTGTCTGTGTTAAGGAATAAAGTAAATAAACAGTACAAATAAGTTGTACTCTCCACATAAAGGTTCAATTCCCTTTCTGTGCGGAGTTTGCATGTTCTGCTCATGTCTGGATGGGTTTTCCCAGGACCCCCCCCTTATAGTGTACTATAAAGTATACTATAAAATGTTAAGACTTTAATGTGTGTATTGTTGTAATAAGTAAACATTTCAATTTACGTGTACAGTACATGTGATATTAGATTCTAAATATGGATTTGGGACAACAGCCCTGACACTTGAGTGTCACCTTTAAAGCAGCTGCCCACGTGACCAGTGAACTTTCCCCCACTTCCTGTTATTATCTCATCCATGTAACCTGCATTGCATCTTATTTATACCATACAAAACAATAACAAGTCTTGATCGTCAGGCAAAATATTATAGATAAAAAGCAATGCGAAAGGTTAAGTGTCATAATTAAGTAATTTCGTTGGGTTTACCTGCTGGCTGGCGTAGAAACGTGCATTTTGTGCAGCGACCACAGCACCGGCTTGAAACTGACCTCTGTGGAGTTGAAATCATTAGCATTACACAAAGAAATACACGTTTGGATTTGTGATCTTTTTTGCACCGCTGCAGCCGTAGACATACCCAGACAGAACCGAGGGGGCTTTGAGGACAGCGCTGCACAACGCTGTGGACTTGCTTACATTACGGAGCAGCATGGTTTTAGTTGTCCCTAAAAAGAAAAATATAATTGGTCAGAAAAAAAATCAGCATTAACCTTTCAAACCTCAGTAAGCTACCCTGTGTGCAGTCAAGTTTACGTTGATAAAAAAAAGAAGCTAACGAGGCGAGCTAAAGCTACGTTCATACAATCAGTGGTCAAGTCTTCTTTGTAGCGTTAGCTATTGACGTTAACGTTTGGGTTTTATATTAAACACAAAGTGATTTTATTGGAGTTTTATTTGTAGAAGTAAGAAAACGCCGCTCACCTGTACAGAACTGTGATCGAACACGTCGCCGGTGTCTGAAAAACAGGAGGACTGACCCACTAACCCTGAATCTTTGGAGCTGGGGGTTTGTTTTCCGGATGCCTTCTACCGCAGTGCTTCATGGGAAATAGAGTTCTACTTGCCTTACCTTTTCATAACTTAAAAATATAGCATAATCGGGGCCCTTTAAACTGTTATGTCGTTTCCTCATCACAAACATACTCCACTGTGTTTTAAACTGCATACACTTGTACTAGAATCATTGGGATTTTCTTGGAATTTCCCATCTCTACTAAACAAAAGGTTAAAACTTTTGTTTAGTAACCTGAAAACTTCATGACATCATAAAGTGGAAGAGAGCATTTTGATCTTTCAAGATGCAGACAGACTAACGAACCAGGGTTACTCAAACATGTGTGAATGAAATAAAACAACTCCAAGTATGTTTTTGAGGAGGTAACATTATAACATGGTTTAAAGCTCACTAGAGTCATCTGTAGTATACAGGCCCTTAAAGAGATGAAAATAAATTATTACTGGATAATGTAGGGGTGTCAAACTCATTTTGGTCCGGGGGCCGTATCCAACCTACTTTGATCCCAAAAGGGCCGGATCAGAAAATTCATGGCATATATACCCCAATAGCAATAAGTTCAAATATTTGTGCAGAGAAACGCAAATCTATTACAGAAATATTTTTTTAAATTGATGAACTCTTTCTTTTACTAAATATTATATTATTATGAACAACCTGAAGCTTTAAGAAAAATGCAATTTCAACAATGTTTTAACTTGTATGCAAATAGCAATAAGTCAATTTTTCTTGGAAAATCCCACACACAAAGGCGCTGGAGATGCTGCTATGCTAAGCGGCACAGAAAATTACCAATATTTTAATAGAAAATATAATTAACATATTTTAGTAGAAAATCACCCGAGGGCTAGATTGAAGGTCTTGGAGGGCCGGATCCGGCCCCTGGGCCGTATTTTTGACACCCCTGATCTAGCTCATCATATAAATAAAAGATAAGGACTTGTTTTGTATCAAATTGTCAGTTTATTGTCAACTACACAAGCAAAGGTGTCCATATGAAATCACACAAAGTGACAAGACAATGTCATTCTTTTTGAAATGATGACTCTTCATTTAGCACCTTAAATGTTTGATTATAGATTATTTATACACACTCATACAAAATGTACTTGGTGAATAATAGTCAGTAACATAGTCATTTGGATCAGTAACTCTACATGTAGGCTATGTATCAAGTACCTCTTTAGTGTTGCCTACATGTACCGTTAAACTACAGCCCAATACCGACGAGATGCTCTCCCCAAAGTTTATTTGACCAGCCCAAGTCTTACTAAAGACTTTATCTGACTGTTGGACCTATTTTCTTTTTTCACATTAGAGCTTTATTTATATAGAAATTGATATATACATAAATGTTCATTATCAAACATAATGTCTATGTACCAAAAGTGTAAAAAATCCTAAATTGTAAAAGTAAGGCACTGGATTCAAAAGTACATGATTGCTGCTGTGTTTTAGGATTTTATCCTTTCAAGTACGTGCTGATGGCTGGTAGTGTTTAACTGTGCACTGCTCTTTTGGGCAGCTCTGAGACTAGTGGCTTCTGGGGCTGAAATAAAAATTTAAACTGAGCAGAGCAGCTTAAAAACAGGCGCTGAAATTTCTGCCTGAAAATACCAAACATAGTTTACATGGTATAAAGTCTGAATAGCACTTAGTATTTTGCTTCAATTATACCCAACTCATTCTATATGAAATGCAATTTTACCTTTCGTGTTTAACCCTGTTTTTACCAAATTCATTACTTTTTTAAACAAGTGCCCTAAATTTTAAAGGCCCTTGTTAGAACCAGAAGTATGTAGGCGCCGTACACTTCACATGAATAGCCTTTTTACACAATACAAAAACACTACATGACATCCACAAAGAACTCGCTGGGGTTACCCATGGCCAAGTGGAAGGACTGGCGAGAAGCGGTCAGTTCTGGGGGCACAGAGCCCAGGTCACGTGTGGGAGGCGCTCCGGGGGGTCCGCCTGGGGTGGAGGAAGGTGGTGGGGGTAAGGCAGGGTGCATGGAGGCTGTCGGCATCTGCTGCGCATGCGGAAGAGCGTGTGCGGTTGCCATGGCAGGATGGGGGTGCTGGGGTACCATCATCACCATCATGGGGTTGTAGGGTAAGATGCCTGGTGGGTATGGGGACATGTGGGGTGCCTGGGGGATACGGTGATGGTGTGAGGAGCGCTGCGAGGTGTGGCTGTGTTCACTGGGAGCAGCTGACCCATGACCTCTCCTTATGCTGCTGCGTGTGGAGTATTCAGATTCACTGCCACTGCCCGAGCGGGAGTCTCCGCAACCATCAGGGAGGCCACCAGAGGGCGACTTCTCCCCTCCACCGATGGTGCTGCCAGGGCCTTTACTGCTGCGCCGTCGCTCTCCCTCACTTCTAGTCGAACCACTGCTTCGACTGCCTGTATGTGCAGAGAAAGAGATGAGTTTTGATGGCTAATCATGCCATTACAAATACTGTTAACACTGAAACAGTTTCATATCACATGACAGGGCATAGGTTGAGAAACAGTCTTCATTACCTTCACTGTGTTGGCTGCCGGTGCTGCCGGGGGCGTAGCTGTAGCTGGTGAGCTCATGGTAGGGTGGGGGCTGGCTGGAGTAGGGGTGTGTTGGGTACGGCTGATAGGGGAATGTGTGCATCATGGGCCACGGGGAGGCCCCGGGGAGGGGCAGGGGGGCCAGGGTGTCCTGATCTGAGGCTCCACTGGAGCCGTCATTGTCATTTAGCGACAGGTTTGCCATATCTGCAGAAGAAAAGACATTACACACTTAAAATAGAGTAGGTATGCTATAGATAAAAATCAGTTCAAATCTGTTTCAGTTAGTAACACTAGTGAATGGCGGTTAATACTCACAGTTCTCACAGTCACTCAAGTCTCCAAAGACGTAGTAACATTGTTCAGAGAAGGTGATCTTGTTGACTGTGTGTCGGATAAAGCCTGCCTTCAGGAGGTTGCTGGCGTATTTCCTGGCTTCACGACGATCTGTGAATCCTTCAATGTGGTGGAAAAGCCATTCCACCACATCTGACCCTGTGCCAAAGACAAATACATTACAGACCAAGTACAGAAGCACTGTTAAGACAATACACGCTCCCCATTAAAAACTGACACATCGAAAAATGTGTAGTTTTTTACTCTTTATGATTCAGACACAGGTGACTCCAATTTAACAGTTGTTTGCAGTCAAAACAGGCTCTTCTGTTAACACCAGATTTTTTCTCACTGCTACAAGTCACACGGTTTTAATTTAAGCAACATAATGGCTGCCCTTCAAAACTGAGCCACAAACATGATCACGTGGATAATGTTGACGCGATTTGACATGTTTCTTACCAAGAAAAGCATTGGGAATAGTGATTTTCAGCCACATGCGATCCCTGACCTCCAAACCAGACTCTGGAGAAGCCATAGCTTTGGCAACTGAGGCCATATCAGAATGCAATGACAAGTTAAAGTCATCAAAACCTAAAAAAGAACAAAAGTTTTAATATTCAGACAAAACTGAAATTAATCTTACATGGTGGATTCTTTCATACGTCCCAGGTATTTTACTTTAAATCAGCTGTTAGAAATGTTTTTTAAACTGATTGTTGTAAGCTTTAAACCATGTTATAATACTGTTACCTCCTCAAAAACATACCTGGAGTCATGTTTGGAGATGTAGGAAGACTAATAATAAAAAATTACTTAAACATGTGAATGAAACCAAAGCTCAAAATGCTCTGTTCCATCTTGTGATAAAGCTGTAGTTTTTAAGTTAACAGCTGTATTTTACTTTTAATTCAGTAGAGGTTGTCAAGTCCTAAGCTGAAGTGATGTAAATGATTCTGGTGAAGATGTATGGAGTTTAAGGACACAGTGGAGCGCATCCTATATTCCCACATGACATCGCAAGGTGAAACTGAGTGTTTTCTGATTGAGAGAAGAACTCAGTCTACATATGCAGGCTTTGTGTTTTAAATATGTGTGAATGAAACAAAACAACTCCAGGTATGTCTGTGCTGAGGAAACACATCAGAAAATAGCGTAATATGTGCCCTTTAAATGAATGCGCAAGCTTACGTTCAGTCTCTGTGACGGAGGAGGAGGAGGTGATGGTGCTGAGGGAGGAGCTGCCTGGATAGGGAGGATAGGCCCCGGTCATAGCCACAGAGTGACTGACCCACGCTGCAGGATCTATGGGTCGGATTGGCTCATCTGCACATGTGAGGAGAATATACTGTTATAAAGCATGGCGTATATTTAACAGGCCTATGACAGATTAGACTTCTCTTTTGACTAAAACAGTTAAGATCAATAGATGTAAAGATGCACTGGTCCACCTCTTGCCTGACTCCATGTTGTTTTTTTCTTGAAATGTTTTACAGTACGGCATTTCATTTAACTATCTCCATGGAGACGAGCAGGCCACATCATCAGGCCAAGTTACAGGCCAGATCTGTGAAAAAGTGGACCTGCTCGCAGTAATAATGCATGTTTTTGTGGTAGTTAAGTTAGTTGTGGTGTAATTGAATACATACAAGATATATTTGTTTAAAGCCATACTGTGGATCATGCAAGGCAAAGCAATAACCTCATCATGGTGGCAAGGAGATGGTAGACCCTCTATCAGAAAAATTACAGAGTACACCTTTAAGATTTTGCTTAAAAATTCATACTTTTTGGGGGGAATAAAATTTTACTTCCCGATTGGAAATTATGACATCACACTAGGGATCACCTAGCAACCATGCTGTACGGTAGGCCAGCTAAAAGGCCCCTAATGTACATCATGACATTGTACAACATAAAATCAGAAAACAATTTTATTTTATTCACATAATGTTTAAATTATCAGAAAAAATGTGTTTGTTGGGTATAAAGTGTGCCGAACGTTTGGACAGAATTCTCCCTAGTGTGATTAATATGGGACTATCTAAAATAAAACTCTCTACTTCACATATTTTTCAACAATATTTCTTTAACTTCTTTATCTGTGTCAACTTATAATTTATATTTATAACTGGTGTTATCCAACCAAATTAAGTCAAAATTAGAGAATCATCAAAACCTGTCAGAGAGTTTAAGAGGAGATACATCATATGTACTTACTGCGTGGCAAAGTAAAGTAGCCCTGTGGAGAGGGGTCCCAGCACTTGGCCACTGTGAGAATAATGGGTCTGGGGAATCAAATTATTACAAATTAATTATCATGAACAAGCATCTTAAAAGGTCCTATATTACAGAAAGTGTACTCTTGTGAGCTTTAAGCCAATGTTATAATGCTGTTAAATTCTCAGAAACATACCTGGAGTTGTGTTTTGCTTCATTCACAGGTTAGAGTAACCCTTTATTATTAGTCTGTCAAAGCTCAAGATGCTTTGTTCCACCTTGTGATGTCATGTAGAGACAGTTTAAATTAACAGCTACCTTTACCTTTAATTCAGTAGAGATTGGAAATTCCAGGGCTGAAATTATCCAAATGATTGTAGTGAAGATGTATGGAGTTTAAAAACACAGTGAAGCACTTCCTGTATTTCCACATAAGATCACAAGGTGGAACAGAGTGTTTTCCTTAATATACAGGGTTTGTGTGTTAAAACGTGTGAAGGAAGCAAAACAACTTCAGGTATGTTTGCGATGAGAAAATAGCATAATATAGACCCTTTAAATGACATTCAACTCAACATACCCTGGTTTGTGCACAATCTCCCTCAGAACGCGCACGGCATCATCATTACTCATATTCTCAAAGTTGATATCGTTGACCTGAGCACAGAGGAGTGGTTTAGATATACAGATAATCTTGAGTACACACTGAAGAGAACTATCAGGTCATACTTGTAGCAACATGTCTCCAGGCTCAATGCGTCCGTCTGCAGCCACAGCCCCTCCCTTCATGATCGAGCCGATGTAAATGCCCCCATCTCCCCGTTCATTACTCTGACCAACGATGCTGATTCCGAGGAAGTTGTACTTTTCTGTATTTGGTAAAAGTAGTTTGAATTTGTAGTTTTAAAGGTGCAGTGGGCAACTTCTTTGGAGGTCATTGTTCTGTTTGGATTTTTTCACAGTATGACTATTACTACTATTAAAACAGCTTTGCCTTACATTTATTCATTACAGGTGGTTTTATAGCTCAAAAATACCTAGAAAAACAGGCATTGTGACTGAGCAGTTTTACCTCTCTACAGATCTGACCTGTAATGTGGTCTGGTTTGGTCTCCATGAAGATAGAAAGGTTTAATGCCATACTGTGAAACATTCCAGACAAAGCAATAACATCACCATGAAGAAAAGCATTTGATGGGAGCACCCAGAAAAAAAGTTACACAATGCACCTTTAACTACTAGGCCTGCCACAATAACAAATTGTAAACTATGATATATTGCTGAAGTAAATAAAGACGAACTATAATATTGAAACTTAACCATAGAGTAGAATTAACTCAAGAAGTATTCTAAATGTCCAATACTCTTAAAAACATATGAGCTGCAATAAACACTTAAAGGTGCACTATGTAACTTTTCTGGTACAAGTCCAGCACCTGGTTGTGTCCATGGAGATATACTAGGACGATTGCTTTCCTTGAAATGTGCCACAGTATAGCATTAAATATTATTTAAATATAGGTGTCTTTTACAATAAAACAATACTTTGAAAAAATATGCATGGTACTGTAAGCGGACCCAGCTCTCCACAAATCAGGCCTGTAAATTGGCATGGTGCTTGTCTCCATGGAAATAGATACATTCAATATCATACTGTGAAAAATTCCAGGCAAAGCACCAAGTACATCTACATAGTAGCGGACCCTCCACCCAAAAGTTATCTAGTGCACCTTTAAGTAGTTCTTTTGTGTCTATAATGAGTCATAGAAGTTCATAATGAAATCTTCTACAGCTCAAATCTAATCACAGAAGTACAGAAAAACAACCAAAGTTTTCCCACTAGTGCAAGGAAAGTACCCAAGTTCATCCAGTGAACGACAAGTTGATATAGTAATTATCGTGATAGACCTATTAACTGTATAACTGAAATACTGGTAAACACTGGAGATGTACACATACCCATATTAAGAGTTACAGTGATTATGTTCAGAGACATTGTCGAGTCTGTCACACTACTGAAGGAAGAGGCCTGGAAAAAACAAATGGATCATTAAAAAAAAATAATCATGTTTTATAATAAATTTAAAACAAGCAGGAAAATATATTGTGTACTAACTCGTTCTAAACGCGGGGGGCGCTGTTTCCTACGTCGGCGGTGGCGCTTGAGAAGCCGTGAGGCGGTGCTCTGCTCTGTTGCACTGCTAAACCTAAAGAAAGATGACAAGTTAGATGGATGGATAGATATAGATATAGACAGAGAGACAGACAGAAAGAGACTACAGGGTCAGATTTTGCAGTTTTATTCTGACCCTACAGTTGGCCTTACCTGCTCATGGTATCATCGTCATCGGAGTCACAGAAGCTTGTCGTTTCCAGCTCACTGCTCATCATTGTGCTCGAGCTCTCATACCCCGCTAGGTGGCGCTCCATTCGACTTTGCCCATTCATTCTGGGCCCTGTGAAACCAACAAAGAAAAAAAAAACTGCTCACGTGTTTGTTCATGTCAGTGTTTACATTCTTCTAGATCACAAATATTCCTTGAGTTATTTTCTTTTCCAAAAATTGAGATCTGTGCAATGTTTAGAAGCTGGAAACAAGTCAAATCATGTAGAGGTGTTTTAGCAGCTTTGAGTTTTGTACTGACCGTGAGGATCCATGCTTTCTCTGTGTCTTGGCCTCTCTCTTCTAAACGAAACTACAGACTCTGTTTCAGTCTGGTCGTCCAAAGTCTCTACACTTCCAGTTGCATTTGGGCTAAAAAATAAAAATATATGTTCATTATACATCTTCTTTTTCAGGCATTATCATACAAATCCATAGTTGCTTGTAGGGATGTAACAATAACCAAAATATCATGATATCGTATTGTCAAAGGTCTCACAATAATATCAAGGACCATCACAATATATCGAATTACAGGTCTCTTCACTTAAATGAATAGTTATGGTGCAGCAACAGCTAAAAAAACATAGGGAACTACATAGACCATAATCCTTTGCTCCGTTTCAGTGCAGACTATGTGAAAAAATAACTGTTCTAAGCACTTTTAAATCTTAGTTCTTTAGGTTAAGTCTTGTTGATGAATTTTAAAAAGGAAAAAATAGCAAATTCACAGTTTTGTTATCCTCCACAAAATATCACAATAAACATCATACCGTCAGATGCATATCGTGAAAATATCGTACCAAGAGATTTGGATATCGCTACATCCCCAGTTGCTCATATGAATCATGGAATTTCCTTTTGAGACTAAGAAATGTGATTTAATGAGAGAAATGGGGTCAGTGTCTCATTTACAACTGCTGCATGGAAAATAACTTGCTGTGACCACACACCACATATTTGAGTTGGTTTAGAGGGATCAAGGCTAATTGTGCAAAATGTAAAAATGATTAGAATGCGCTTCTGAAGTTCAAACAGTGTGTGTGAACTCCAGTCTGACTCTTTATCCGAACTCCAGACGGCATATTTCTTTAGGGACTTGAAATGATAAATTCTAGTTTGCCTAAGGCTCAAATTATAAGACGTTTTGTGCTTGCCTCTGCTTTATAGTTATAATCTATGACACCTCTGGATCATCCATGTTATAACAACTGTCAAGTTTTAATCGCAAAATTCATCTAAAAACGACTTAACAAAAGAAACAAGGCTGCAGATTTCTACATTTGAAAACTATAATGCCCAATGGGAGCAGACGTCGCCGTTCATGTCATCACAACAAAGAGTCAGCACCTCCGATAGATAGATGTACCCAATAATTACTAAACTGCCGAATCCTACACACTACAGCACAGATTAAGAAAATAAAATTGGAGAATGAAATAAGTACAGCGCAATGGGCGTGTGATGGTGGTAGTGAAAATGGGGATAAATCGGAAATATGGTGTCTTGAAAATAAGTGATTAAAGATTCCTCAAGCATGCACAAATCACTCCAAATGCAACTTCAGGTGAGGGGAAACAACTATAAAATGGTTAAAAGTTCTAAAAGGTAGAGTTTGCATAATGGCCCTGTTTTAAAATGATTCATTCTAGTTTGCCAAAGGCTTAAATTACAAGATTTAAAAACTGAAGTACCTGATTTTCAAGCTGCAAAAGGAGTAAATAGGCATTTAAATCCATCTACCTAATTCCTAGCTCTCACAAAGCCTTTGGCACCAGGTTAATATTCAGAAGCTTAAATTTCGCACGCATTACAACAGCTTTTTCAGATGGCGAAGTGAAACTGGGGCAGACCGACAAAGCACAGTCAATTAAAATCTTACTTAAAGATACTTTTTAAAGACAACACAGATTCTAGCTTGGAAAGTGATATTTTATTGTCAATATATCAAATTATAAGTTCCTTTGCTTAAATACACTGTTTTAGTAGCAACTAGGGATGTAACAATATCCAAATCTCTCAGAACGATATTTTCACAATATGCATTTCACAGTACAGTATTTATTGCAATATTTTGTGGAGGCTAACAAAACTGAAGCCGCTACTTTTTCCTCTTTTAAGTACTTAGAGCTGTCATGTCTTCATGAAGTCTGCGCTAAAATGGAGCAACGGGTCATGTTATATGTAGTTCCCTCTGTTTTTTGCTACTGCTGCACCATAACTATTCATTTAAGCAAAAAATTCTTGTTAATTCGATGTATTGTGATGGTCCATGATATTATTGTAAGAACTTTGACGATACAATCTCACAATATTTCGGTTATTTTTACATCTCTAGAAGTAACAGCTAATAGACGTGGGGAACTACACATACAATGATGCATTTCAATATAAAGACATGTTTTTTACTTAATTCTTGGTATTATGACAGTAATGATTTGCACCAAAGTTTTGTCAAGGTTTTTTTTAAATGTATCCCATGTACAATTTTATTAGTGTGTCCAAAATATTGCAATAATTATCGTACCATGAGATTTAAATATTGTTACACCCCTGAAAACATGCATTTATCTGTCAAGTTTACAGCCAAATCTACTTGAACACCATATGTAGGGCTGGCTCTTATATAATTATTCTCTGACTGTTCCTTTACCTTCCTCTGTGCCCCTTGATTCCTTTGTTGAAGCAATAAGACTGACTAAATAAGCAGGCCGAGTGTCAGAGGGTCAGAGGGCTTAGACCATAATTTAGATTACACTGAAAATGCTTCACTTATTTGTGGAGGCAGATAATAACAAGGGCAGCGTTGGTGAGTGTTAATGAGACAGCATTCTCTTTTGCTTGATATTTCACTGTAATTTTAATGTGAATAAGAAATATGGTATAAAACAAATGTAAGCGTGAATAGGTGGTTTTCTTACTGGAAGGAGGGGGGTCTGGAGTCTCCGATGCCCCCGGTCCTTTCGACGGGGGGCGGGGGCAGTGGAGGGGGCGGGGGAGAGGGCTGTGGGGGCGTTTCCACAGGAGGGACCACTGGGACAGGGGCATCTCCACCGGGGCCATCCGACGATACCAGCTACAACAAACAAAACAAGAAACTATGTTCAGAAGCACACCCAGTACTATAAGCCAATTAAAATGCTGTTTTAGTGTAACCTTGCACAGTAAGATGGATTCTCGCAATATTTGTGGCTTCAGATACCCATGAGAATCCATCTTGGCATGCACCCACTGTACGGTTAATTGTGAGGCCAGAACAAACTCAGAGCAGCACGAGGTTTGTGCCAAAGGCAATGTACTGACCAAAACTTGCCCTGTGCAAGGTCCGCATGGCTACAGCGTGTGGCATTTTGGAAACGTGTCTTCCATAAAAGTGTCCAAAAATACTGTGTTCCTTAATGTTTAGTGGCATACTTTACAGCCATCCATACACCACGATCAAAAGACCGTTTACCCCCACACTGCAAACACCGGAGTGCTTTAATTCCTCCCCTTTTTATAGGAGTGTCAATTACATAATAAATTACAATTAGTGGGCGGCAGTAGCTCAGTTGGTAGAGCATTTGCCCACTGATCTGAAGGTTGGCTGTTTGAATCCAGCTCTCAACATAAACATCACAGGTTGAGCGGTCAGATCCACTGACCCACAGGTTGGCTGGTGTGATTCCAGCTCCCACAGATGAATGCTGCCTTTGTGTCCTTGGGCAAGACACTTAACCCACCTTGCCCACAGTGTCTGCGTACACTGGTGTGTGAATGTGTGTGTGATTGGGTGAGTGGTTCCTTGTTGTAAAGCGCTTTGAGTGCCTTGAAGGTGGAAAAGCGCTATAGAAAACTGTGACCATTTACCAATTAGCGCCACACAGTGGTGGGAGGTATAGAGAGGCAATATGACTCCAAACAAACATGGGAACACCAACAGATCTACTTCAGCCTATTTTAGCATCAATACAGACTATTTAGTTTGTGAAAATGTGCAGAGGGAAGCACTTTGTGCATCTGTAGAGAGGGAAGATGTCTGGGTTTTCTCAAAACTGGACTTAACAAAAGTTAGATTTTTTGATTTGTTCTGCTGTTGGGATGCTAATAGATTCAAATAACTGCATTTTTCCAATCGTTTTTAAGCAGGAGCTTTTCCAGACTGATAAATGTGTAGAACTCTACACACGTCAGTCTGGAGTGAGTCAGGTTAGTTTTGGGGCAATTGAAGAAACAGGGGGGAGGTTAGGGAAGTTAGAGGCAAGAATACAGTTAAGATGTCTGTTACCGTAACACTCAAAGCACTGGTCTTTTCAGAGGCACGTCTCACGGGCAAACTGAAATGCTATCCCACACTTAACCTGTCTCTGCTCATTACGTGACAAAAGTACCAGCAAACACAACTGCACAATAACTGCACACAATAGCACACAGAGACAATTAAACTCAAAACTATTCAGGATAAAGTTACTCCAAACATAAGGGACACATAGAGAGGGAGAGAGGGACTGAGATGGAGAGAGAGGGAGGGAGAGACTGATCACTGCTTTTCTCTTTATTATTGAGCCAAAATGTAGTTCACACGTGATTCTATCGGACGACAAATCTGCAGCATTGGCCACATTCATCACAGACTGAAGTCATTCTCTCCACAGAGGTCCTCTCCCTCTCCTCGTCTCCTCTAATGGGCGAGCGAGGTCCAAACTCCATCTTCTGGGACCGGCTTTGGCTCAAGGATCACATAGCAGTCCCCCCGGTGCACCCGCTTTGTTCCAACTGCTTTTTTAAAATACCGTCTCTTCGTCTTATGCACTTAACAGATGCTCTCTGCCTCTAACCTGCCGATCTGGGCCAAGTCGGGTAGTTTTTGTGCCTATTCAGATTAGGCCTTCGGGGTGTGGGGTGGGGCTGGTGTACGCGGGTGCCTTTGGGAGAGACTAGAAGTAGGTGAACTCTACCTTGAAGCCTACTGTAACTGTGGAGGCTGTGTGGTTTACAGCTGGAGTATCCATTAACACAGTGGAACCCTATCTACAGTGAGAAACTGCTCAGCTTTTGTTTGGCAAGACCATTTAGTACCAAAACTCCGCCTCCTGATTACTACAGTGCAATGATATACATGGTGATGTAACCAACCAGGTCCAAACATCGAGAACAACTTCAAGTATTTAAGAAATTTAAGTAAGGATTAATGCTGTATTCATGTGGTCCTTGAAAACTTTGGATTCTGAGATAAGCACACTCATCAACAGCATTTAAAAGAGCTAACCAGATTTTTTGTTGCTACTAGCCTTTTAAATGCTATTTTTTGTTTACTTAGGCTAGGTTAACAATACATTGGTAATGAATTAATTAAACAGTTGTAGTCTCAGGTCTTTCTTGTGCCCATCTGTTGCTCTTATGATATGGATAACTGACAGTAAACCCCTAAATGTAATGACAAAATCTAACCAAAACATTAAGTGTGAATGAATAATAAGATAAAGTTATGATAACATTGTAATCATGATTTAAATGGCCCATTTTACGCAATATTCTCTCTAAATTTGAATAAAACCAAAATAATGCTATTTGGGAATTATAAGGAAGAAAAAATACAGTTACAGATACAAGGTGTAAGAATAGAGCAGGTCAAGGAGAATAAATTTTTAGGGGTCATAATTGATGAGAAGATTAACTGGAAAGCCCACATCCAATATATACATAATAAAATATCAAAAAGTACTGCAGTATTAAACAAAGCAAAGTATGTCTTAGATCACAGAGCACTACACACACTTTATTGTTCACTGGTTTTACCATATTTAACATACTGTGCAGATATTTGGGGCAATAACTATAAAACTGCAATAGAACCATTTATAAAACTTAAAAAAAAAAAAGCAATAAGAATTATTTATGTCAAATTTCATGACCACACTAATCCACTGTTTATTCATGCCAAATTACTCAAACTGAATGATTTGATTCTGTACCAAACTGCACAAGTCATGTATAAAGCTAAAAATAAGCACTTACCAAAAAATCTTCAACTACTTTTTTGTGAAAGGGAAGCAAACTAACTTAAGAGGCGTTTTGAATTTTAAATTGCCTCGTGCTCGAACAACAAGAAAAAGTTTCTGTGTCTCTGTTTGTGGTGTGAAATTATGGAACAACTTGAAAACAGAATTAAAACTTTCTTCAAATATACATGTATTCAAAAGGGCAATTAAAAAATTAATTACTTCAAAATACTGTGTGGAAGAAATGAGTGCTTAGTGTATATGTGTGCATGTATATATGTGTATGTGTGTGTGTGTGTATGTATACTTCAGTATATGTGTATGTAGGTATGTATATATTATATCTGTGTATATGATGTGTACTATATCTGTGCACATAATATACATATATTTGTTGTTGTTTGTTGGATTGTAATGCAATGGAGGTACTGTGCAATTATTGCTTGTAATGTATAGGAAATGAGAAGTCTGTATTTGTTCTTCGTTAATTTGGGACTGTAGAAAAAAGGGGTGGGGTTAAATAAGTATTTACTTCCTCCCACTCCTTTTTCGGACACAAGGAAAATTCTGCGTAACATTTATTTTGCCTGTTATTATAGAATAGAAATAGTTACTTTTTGTGTTATATCTATGTATTTACGTTTTTGTTTATTATTATTTACTTATTTTTTAAATTTATGTTCTATGTATTACTGTCCGAATAAATAAATAAATAAAAATATTCTGATCTATATTATAACATTGTTTCCTCATCAGAAACATACCTGAAGTTGCGTTGTTTCATTGCACAAGTTTAACACACAAATCCTGCAGATTAAATCAGAGTTCTTCTCTCAAACTGAAAACACTCTGTTCAACCTTGTGATGTCATGTGGTAATATAGGATGTATTTATTTTAAAAATCATCTGGATAATTTCAGTTCAGGAATTGAGTATTTGTATTGAACAAAAAGTAAAAATGTAGCTGTTAACATCACAAGAGCTGTTTTCAGAATCAAAGTACTCACTGGCGAACGACCTGCGTTCATACCATTTACATGAACCCATGACACAACAGAGGGTGTGGATTACCACCAAATAAAAACAAGGCCATACGAGAACGGATGTCACAGAGAGGAAAATAATCATGGATCGCATCATCGACACCAGCGAGCATTTGTACTTATACAAGTCATTATTTATGTGCGCCAAGCTCTGCTACAACATCGATCTGCTGTGGAGAAGGCGGCAGCAACGCCCAATACAAAGATTGAACACGGACACATGCTTTCTATAGCCTTAACAATTTTAATTTCATACGTGATAGTTTCAATTACTCTTTGTTTGAATAATTTTACCGTGTGTGACCGGATGACGTCTTCTGTGTTGTCATGGTTCACTTAAAAAAAACAAATTTTACTTGGTTGGGAACCAACTTTTTGGTTCCCAAATGCTCTGACTTGCAGAGTGAAAACGTGAGTCGGTTCAAGATTAGGTGCGGGAACCAGCAGCGACACGGTTCTCTGTCAGTCTGAAAACACCTATGGTGGAACAGAGCATTTTGAGTTTTGGAGATGTAGACAGACTAGTAATGCAGGATTACTCTACCATTTGTGAATGAATCAAAACACAACTCCAGGTATGTTTTTGATTACAGCATTCTAACATGGTTTAAAGCTCACAAGAGTTAATTTTGTTTAATATAGGACAAAATTTGGCATCAGTGCTTTATGTAGAATAATGGCCATGTTTATTAGTGTTGTATTCCTTCACCAATATTCAGCTACACTTTCTTTGTAAAGAAGTTGATTAAAAACAAACTTCTTAATATTTTTTCTCCATCTTTTTTGAATACTCACCCATGACACCACTCTCCCATTGAAACAGGGCAACTTGGCAGCGTCGTCTGAGATTTCTTCTTTGACCACTCTGAAACACAAAAGCAAAGACAGCATAGAGAGCGTGAGATACAGGAGGCACATAACCATGAATCTAACAACTGAAATATCGTGACAATGTATCGTCAAATCTCTCAATAATATGGTGGGCCATCAGAATATATATTCTGACAATGGCTTACGACCTCTTGTATATAGCGGATATATTTAGCAGATATATTTTTTTTATTACTTATTTTGTATATATTTTTTTTACTTTTACATAGACATTTATATAATTAAGCCTTATGATTTGATAATTAAAATTATAATTATGCCTACATTTATTAATAGCATTTATATTTTATATTGTGATATGTGAGCTACTGTGTCCAGAGTTTGTCTACATTAAGAGAAATTTGGAAATCTCTACATCCCTAAACATTAGAGCTCTGTGACTGTATGTGGGGCCAGCTCAAAGCCCAAAACAGCCAAAACTGGAGCTAAGAGGCTTACATTATGCTCACATGGCTTGAAATATGGAAGATCTTTATGAAAACACAGCATCAAACGTAAAGCATTGTTCACATGGATTCAGCGGTTGTGTGTTCACTGGTTTGATCATTAGAGTCAGAGCTGTTACATGTTGGGGGTTAAGACGGTGACGGTTCAATGCCAAAGGGACTAATTTTACATGAACCTTTTCTGGATAAACTGTGATTCTGACTTCTGTCTATTGGGCAGATAGTGTCTTTCCATTTTTTTCATTGCTTAAAGGGTCCATATTTTTGATTAAGCCATTTCCTGATCTATGTCATAATGTTGTTTTCTCATCACAAACAAACCTGGCGTTGTGTTTTGTTTCATTCACACATGTTTAACACATAAACCCTGCATATTTAGGCTCAGTTCTTCTTTCAGACAGAAAACACTCTCTTCGATCTTGTGATGTCACATGGCAATACAGAAAATCCCCCACTGTGTTTTTAAACCCTATATTACTTCACTAAAATAATACAGAACTGGAATTTCATATTTACTGAAGATAGGCTAAAAAGGTAGTTGTTATGTTGAAAACTATCACTACATGAAATCACAAGAGCATTTTGAGTTTTGGAGATGTAGACAGACTAATAACAATTACTCAAACATGTGATGAAACAAAACACAACTCCAGGTATGTTTTTGAGGAGGTACTAGGTACTAGGACTGCCTAGCTGTTGAACTTGCTAATAGAGCTGTCTCAACCCATACTTGGCTGAAGCATAAACACGTGCCATCAAAAGTAGATGAATATAGAAGGGGGCTAACATTTTAAACTGTTACAGTATATGTTTTGTATTGTTTTTACTTTATTGTCATTTGTCCAGACTCCTCAACAGTGCTGTGCTCAGACTCAGAGTCTCATGGGCAGGATTAAAGTAGTGTACATATTTTGTGTTAATGGAGGGGAAACAACAACACTGGGAGAACATTCAAACTCCACAAAAGGCAAGAGTAGTGATGTCACATTACAAAAATTTCAAACTAGATTTTGATACTAAGGAATGGACTCAATACTCAACAGCCATTAAAATACCACACTGAAGAAAAAACATGCAAATTTTTAGTAGTAGAATGTAATGCTGTAACTTCATATACAAAACTACAGTACTTTCTTCGTGTTACAACAAACTATAAAATAAGCACCTTCTGGAATAGAGTTGTCAAAAGTATTGAAAATCTTAAACAAGTACCAAGGGCTGGGTGAAAAAATTCACTAAAAATGTTTACAATGTGTCTACAAACTACAGAAAATGATCAAGAGTTAAAACCCATTGGTCACGAAATTAAATGTTTTATGAACAGGAAAAAACAAACTATTGTACTAAACATGCAGCCCTGACTTAATTTGACGTCAGTGAATTCAAAGCAGTCAGTGCTGTGCTTCCCTGTGCTAAAAATGCCTTTTATGCATTTTTATTTCAATTTCCAATGCAAGAAAATGGAGATAATAATAGTTCTTTCTTTATGATGCCATGAGATTTTAAACTAGTTCTGACGAAGCTCTAATTTACATTGTTCAAGAAAGCCCAAATTTTATCCTGTGAATATAACTAAGCAGGTATCAGTCTAAAATATTGGTACTTGCTCAAATGAATATCTAGTTTCGATATTAGTTTTAGTATTGATTAGTATCTGATTTTTGATACTTTTGCCTTTTGTGGCAGCCATGACTTTAAGCATCTGTCCTACATCAGTTTTTCACTTATTCAATCCTTTACTTGGACAGACCACAGCTCAAGTGCAGCAGAGAGGACACTTCAAAAACACTTGGTTCTTCCTCTTCTGACATATTACCTCCTCCTCCTCCTTCGATCATCTCCTCCGCTCTCTCTCTCTCCCCCTTCCTCTCCCCTCTTCATACTCTCTTTCTGCCCATCTCCTCTCTTCCTCCCCCCTTCTCTCCTTTCCCTCTCTCTTCCTCACCCTTTGTACCTCTCCCCTTCTCCTCATCTCCCTCTCCCACCTCCCTCTCTCCTCTTGTTTTCCTGTGTAGGGCCTTGGTTCCTCTGTGCTCCTCCAAAGCAGCTGTTTTGTGGCCTGTTTTTACATATGGCTGGAGTGTTGTGGTTGGGGCTTATTAAAGCTACTGTTACCAAAAACACTTGGTCGAATGTAGTAACTTGTTTTAAGAGTACGACAACAAACGCCTTCTGTGATACTGAGATAAACGATATAACTCAAACCACTGACAATTAAAAAAAGCAAAACCACCCCAGGAAACCATTTTTAATAGATAGTATCAAGGGCTCACAAACATGTTTCATTCACAAATATTTAACACCCAAACCCTGCATATTTAGGCCGAGTTCTTCTCTCAAACTGAAAACACTCTGATGTCATGTGCTTCATTGTGTTTTTAAACTCCATACTCTTCCACTAGAATCATTTGGAGAATTTCAACCCTGGAATTGCCAGTCTCTACTGAAGAAAATGTAAAGGTAGCAGTTAACTTGAACACTACTGCTTCATGACATCACAAGGTCGAACAGAGCATTTTGAGCTTTTGAGATGTAGACAGACTAATAATAAAGGATTACTCAAGCATGTGTGAATGAAACAAAACAACTCCAGGTATGTTTTTGATGAGGTATTCTAACATGGCTTAAAGCTCACAAGAGTCCATAATTAGCTATAAGAGTGAGTTATTCAACCATCTACAGTATCATATTACAACAGAAACAACAAAAAACTCCCCACCATTGCAAAAGAAACTTAACCATAAAATATAAATATTAAGCTGCAAAAAATAATGTCCCAACCTTCATATATTGAACAATAAATCAATATAGTAATTATAATGATGGGCTTAACCCGAACTGTGCCTCAAGACTCCACTTCCTCTTTCGCAGACAACAGCAAATGGGCCTGGAACCGTGTGGAGTGGGTTTGGGTCTCTGGGTCTCAGTCTCTGTCTCTTGGTCTCTCTCCCCCCAGTCTCTCTCTCCCCCCAGTCTCTCTCTCCCCCCAGTCTCTCTCTCCCCCCAGTCTCTCTCTCCCCCCAGTCTCTCTCATCCCCCTCTCTTCTCCTCGTCTCTCTCTGCCACACACAGGCCCTGCCGACAGCTGGCCTCGTACCAGGGCAAATGAAAACACACACTATTACACAGCGCTCTCCAGGGTCGCTCCCCCTCGGCGTGATTGGACAGCTGACGCAGAGCTATGTTTGAAATTCTTCATCAGAGCTTGGTTGGAGGTTTTCAAGTGTGAGTGCGAGTGTGATCCCAGGCTGTAACTACTAGTATATGTATTCTAGTGATAGCTTAGATGCAATTTTACGTGAAAATGTTTTAGTTTTTTTTTTTAGTAGAGATGCGCCTATCCACCTTTAGATGCTGGCTTTGGGCAGTTGTCATGTTCTCTTTGAATTGAAAATGGAAAGTTAGGGTAGTGTTAGGAAATCTGGTGCAATACATGTTTTGAATTCAAAGAAGTAAACAGCTTTACTTAATACTCCAATGATGAAAAGAAAAAAAATATATATACACATGCTAGCTTCTCTACTAGGCTGGTTCCACTTATAAAGCAATTAATATCACTGGGGAAACAACTCACTGTTGAAAATGTAGTGTGGTAAAAGCATTAGACTGTTGGGAATTACGGGCAGCAGTTTTAAACAGCCCATATTATGTTATTTTCTGATCTATGTTATGATTCCTCATCAAAAACATACCTGGAGTTATGTTTTCTTTCATTCACATGTTTAACACACAAATCCTGCATATTTAAGCTGAGTTCTTCTCTCAAAACAGAAAACACTCTGTTCCACCTTGTGATGTCATGTTGTAATACAGAAAGCACTTCAATATGTTTTAAACTCCATACACTTTCACTAGAATCATTTGTATCATATCAGTAAAACGTCACTGTTAACTTGAAAACTATAGCATTTTGAGCTTTGAAGATGCAGACAGAAAATAATAAAGGTTTACTCAAACATGTGTGAATGAAACAAAACACAACTCCAGCTATGTTTATGAGGAAACGACATGATAACATAACTTAAAGCTCACAACAGTCACTTTTGCTTAATATAGGTCCTTTAAGTGAGGCATTTCAAGTGATTAATCAAACTGGTGTTGCAGTGTTAAGTGCTCAGGTCCCTCAGACAAACCCCAGGTGCCTAATGCCCTGCAGAGTTCCACTCATGTAAATGGGAGTCATTCAGGTAAACAAAGGCCTCTGCAGACACAACCACATTATCTACTGCTTATTGGTAAAAGCCCCCACACCAGACACGTCATTGAGGAGGTCTTTGTCAAATAAAACACTATACTAGTAGATGGTTAGGCCAAAGTAGCAACCCCTTGTAAATCAGTTTAGCATAAGTGATTTCACCTATTGATGAACATGTGACTCAGTTTTCTTAAAGGTGCATAATGTTTTTCATTGGGAGTCCATCACCTGCTTGTTCCTATGGATATGTTATTCCTCTGCTTGAAATGTTCCATAGTATGACATTAAATGGCTCTACTTTACGCTTTTTTATCAGATGTAGTTTTACAGCTCAAAAATACCTAGAAAAACAGGCATTCTGACTGTGAGCGGGGTTGCCTCTCCACAGATCTAATCTGTAACCTGGTCTGCTTTGGTCTCTATGAAGATAGAGAGGTTTAATGCCATACTGTGAAACATTCCAGACAAAGTAATAACAACATAGAGAAAAGCATTTGAGGGACCCTCCACCAGAAAAATTAGACAATGAACCGTTTAATTAAGTACATACAATGTAAAATGAAGAGTTTTGTAGCAGTGTGGGGAGTTTATATAGTTTCCGACAGTGTAATCCAAATGGCCAAATCATCAGGTTAAACACGTATCCAGTTTACAATGGTTTTAGCAGAAGGCCCGTGGATCTCACCGGGTGAACAGACCACAGACATGTTGCTTCCTGCTCTGGAGACTTCAGATGGAGAAGAGGAGAGGGCTCTTTCTGGAGGAGTGAGCTGGGAAAAGGGGGAGAGGACGTGGGGACTGAAAGGATGGCTGCCAGGCCAAAGTGTTAAAGAGTGGAGACAAAACCCTGGCTTCACTCCCAAGAGAAAGAAAGCCTGGATTTCACAAGATGATGGACTGAAGGGAGGGGAGGGGGGAGAGAGGGTGAGGATTAGGGCAAAGAAAAGCAGCGGGGACAGGGAATGCCTCTCATTGTAATGATGATGTCTGCTCAGAAATGTCTCAGGAAGCGTACCTCAATATTAATAGAAACATCTGGTTATTACTCATCACTAGTCCAGATAATGTGCAGAATAGGGATGGGCCTGCCTGCTGCAGCTCAACCTTGTTTTTCCATGTTCTACTCTCATAAGTCCCTTTCTATGGGTCAAAATGTGCACAGGTCGGTCACAAGACTGGCTTGCATGACAACAGGCATGCATTCATTTAACCGTGTGTTTAGTACTTAGCGTGCATTTTCAGAGGGGACTTACTGAGCCGGGCTGACCCGAACAAACAGTCCCCATTAGGTGCAGAGCTGTTTTCCCATGTTAAACTATTGTTTCACACGTGCAAATGTCACGGGGCTTCGAAATGTGAAAAGGTAATTTTCTTTTAGCGCGATATGTTTATGGAAAGCAGTCATTCAATATTTTCCTGCAAAACAAAAGTCATTCCGGCTTACCCAAAGTCTTGGTCCATAGACTTGAAAAAGAATTTGTAGTTTGGCTTGTTCAACACTTGTTTAAAATCCAGCAAAGTGATGTTTTCGGCAGCAATGGGAATCTTCACCAAGTACGGCGTTTCCTCTTCGTCGATATGATAAATTATTTTGGTTTCGGCCATTTCCACGGATGCTTTTTAACCAGTAACCACGAGAAACAAACGTAAGTAGCGAGGTAGCGTTAACTTTGTTGGATGTGCTAGCGGCTAGGTGGCTAACGAGACGGCAGAGGTGAAACGATGATGGCCACTGAGATTTTCGGTCCGAGCCAGCGCACGTAAAAGCGTAAAGAAAACCCCGTTAAAACTCGCGAACCGGCTTCACAAATTACAAAAATCGCGTAGACCCCTTACCGAGGGGCGAAAACCGACGGACACGCTACATTCACACGATCTAACTACCGACAACTTTTCCCCCAACAAAAACATAGAGGAGGGGGTCTGAAAACTTTTCACCACTTTTTGCGAGCCAACGCGGCGTGTGACGTCAGACGTAATCCCCCTCCTTACGTAGCCCCTCACTGCACTAATTAGCTGTTTTACTCTGTAATTAGTTCCTGTGATTTTACAGTGGTGTTACTTGAATGAAACTGTGTCATGCGTTTGGTCGATATATGTTTCTCAGTTTACTTTTGTATCCTTCAATAGCTGGCCTAAACGGCTGGATTTACAATATAATCCATACTCTTGAGCCATTCTGGTATTTGCAGTAGCCTTAGTTATTTTTTATTAGTAATATTACTGCACATTTAGCAATACATGATTAAATCTCTAAATGATGTAATTGTTGTGTTTGTGTGTCTAGCAAATGAAATGAGAAAATTGGCTTAGTGAGAAAAATCTTTATTACAAATGTATCCGCTAGAGGGAGCTGCTGCCTCTTTTTATAACTGCCAATCATGGACCTTTACAAGTCGCCAGCTGTGACAAACCTATAATTTTCTGTTGAAGAAATGTGGCCCAAACACCACTCCAATCACACAGATGATCACAAACACGACCCAAAAGAGCACAGCCAGCACCTGCACCCTGCGCAGAGTCCTCGAGCTCTGCTGTATAGCCTCCTCCTCACCCATCAGACCAGGGGCAGTCCCGTATGGTCTGGCCGGGTGCATCTGCTGCACCCTGAGGCTCACCGTGGGCAGGATGATGTAGCGGGCATCACGGTTCTCTCCTTCCAGAGACAACACCACTCTCTGGGTCACTGTGGCTAAAGGTGTGGCCATGGTGGCAGGCAGTCTGAAGGGCACTGGGGCCAGACGGGCGAGTATGAGGGAGTTACAGGGGAGAGAGTGGGCATCTCCGCTCTCGAGGGGGGTGAGGTGGCGACAGAGCGGGCAGGGGATGGCGGGTGGGCTGTGGGGGTCCCCGGGAGCAAGTGGGCACAGCTGGATTCTGTGTAGACACTCAGTGCAAAAGACGTGCAAACACTCCAACATGCGGGGGCACTTGTGGTACGGGTTGTACTCGTGGTAACAGATGGGGCACTCCACATCCGAATGCTCTGTTGATGAAGGGGGAGCAGGGTCCCCTGGGTGAGGAGCAACGCCCACTTTTGCTGTTAGCATAGAAGGTGCCATGATGGTTTTTTTTTTTGTCAATCTGGAACAAGAAAAAAATTTGACTAAATGTTACAATACAAAAATTTCAAACTCTATTTTAATATTGAGAATACCAATTTTGATACACAATGACACTTTCTTTTCTTTTCCCAAATATATAAAGTATTCTTTAAGAGTGACAGTAACAGTAAACAGAGTAAAGTGTTTGTTCACTGAGGTTGGCAGTTTGAATCCCGCTCTTGGCATAGACATCATTGGTAAAGAACATCACAGTTTGGTGGTGCGATTCCACAGATGAATGCTCTTGCTCTTGACTCTTAACCCCTAGAGTCTCAATGTGTGTGAATGTGTTAGTGTTTCCTTGATGTTAACAGCTATGAATCCCTTGAAGGAGGAAAAACGCTATATAAAAAAGTGACCATTGACCAGATTTTCAAAGCAAAATAACAGTAGTTTCTTAACATTATCATCCATTAGTTGTCGTAGTGATTAATATCTGGGCATCTTTTTTATAGTTTAAAAGCTGTGAGAACTCTTAAAGGTCACATGGGCTTTTGGTAAACACAAAGATTAGGTCTTAACCAGAGGGATGCTGTGTTGTGTTTTCTTAGTTTTATGAACAAATTCCACAGCACACGAGTCATAGCATTTGCACACAGACATCTACAGTCTCACCCCCCAGGTCTGTGTCTGCCTGGTGCGCTCTGACCCATGGTACACGCTGAGCAGGAAGCAGCAACGTAATGAGGCAGTAAAGCTGTAAATAAAAGCAATAAGTAACAGGCATTAAGATACTCTATATATCTGTGTGGAAGTGTGGGATTTCAGACTGGAAAGAATTTACTGGGAAAAAAAAACAACATAAAAATTGATACTTTGCAGTGATATGCCAGGGATGTGTATGGCAGAATGTTTATCACTTACTATGGTGACACAATGCACGCATTAGCAAGCACTGCCAAAAAGTTTTAAGATTGTCTGAAAACTCAAGACAAAATACAAAATGGATTTAAACAATATATTTTCAGGAGCTTTTGTGGTCCTTGACGAGAGTGACTAACTGAAAAACTGTTTGCTTATGCTGGCTTGTGATTAATGTTATTTGAGAGTTACTTGTTTCACATCACAAATCATCTTATCTGTTGTAGTTCCACCTAAGTCAGTTCTTTCTGGTCAAATTGTGTTGAGCTCAGATTGAAGTCTAACAAAGTCTCAGACAGAGCAGCGCCTACAGTGAGCGTCACACCCCCAGGGAATGTTGAGGACATGAGCTGCAAAGTATTAATATCAAATACTGCTACTGAAATTACTACTAAAACTCCAAGACTACTAAACCGGGTGTACTTTTATCACGCTACAATCAAACACCGGATTGCTTTCCTTGCATTACCCTGTTCACAATGTTTATTATGAATAGGTCTTTTTGATTTTCAACTACTAAATATACCAAGTAATTTAAAAAATGTCAGACAAGAAATGATACAGATTGTAATGTGAACATTTTAAGAAAGCAGTCTTGTTTCCCACATTGGCGCACTGTACATAGAAAAAGTTCTCCATTGTTGACACACTGACCCATATTATTGTGCAAACTCAACAATTCATGAATTAAACCAAGAAGCTGTTGATTTGCACTGCCGGAAATGTACACCCGAGTTATGCTTTAATAAAAATAGCCTAGTTGTATCCATGTAGGCCAGCAGCTGAGTGAGACTGCAGAGAGAGAGGGAGCTGGCCTCTCTCCAACATAACCACAGACTGTATATATAAATGGACATAGCTAACCCATGTTCTATCTAGGAAGTGAGTATCTGCGCGCTTCCGGCTCCATCGAGTCTGGCGCTGATTAACTTTACATTGAAAATTATCACCCTTCTTTCTGTGACTGCTGCAGTGAGCCCCATCATTTTAGTCTTAAAATGTTTTTAGGTCCGCTACCTGCTTGTTTCTACAGAGAAGTGTTCCACAGTATGACATTAAACAGCTCTGCTTTACATTTAATCAATTACGGGTGGTTTTATGGTTCAAAAATACTTAAAAACACGTATTCTGACACAAATCAGTAACTTGATGTGGTTTGGTCTTTATGATGACTGTATGAAAAGCATTTGATGGACTCTCCACCAAAAACATTACACAATGCACCTTTCTACTGTTCTTACTTTGCTATTTTGTCTGTTAATAATCAATAATTCCTATTCCTAATCTGGAACTGGCTCCAAATTTGTTGCTGTAACTGCTAGTCTTGTGAGGTTAATTTGACTGGCGCAAAATGCTATGGATGACATCACACTCCCTTAATCCACTTCTTTATACAGTCAATGAACATAAAGAAGATTCACTTGCCCAATGGTGTCCACTTCAATCACCCAGTCTCCAACGCTGGTGCTTTCTATTGATCCTTCATGGTACGAATGAGGCCCGGGTGCTGTCTTTACTGAATTGGTGTATCATCTTGTTTTTGACTTCACCTGATTTCCCTTGCCTCTTGTCACCCCTCGAGACATGTCCACACTTCGTCAAACAGTAATTAAACCCCTAGGTGATGTGGAGGTAACCAAGAGACACAATACACACAAATGGCATTAATATTATCACTTTAACATGCCCAAGATTCTGTCACTTTTGCCTGTGTACGTGTATTACTATAGATATATAAGTAAGTATGTAGGCCTGTCATGATAACAAAATTTGAAGTTCTATATATATTACTAAGGTAAATATGATAATGAAAAATAATAATAATAACCCAAAAGCAGATTTAAGCCACAAAAACTATTCTAAATCTACAATATTATTAAAGGGCTTGTATTACACTCTATTCTGTTCCATGTTATGTTTTCTCATCACAAACACACCTGGAGTTTCGTGTTATTTCATTCACACATTTTTAATACACAGATACTGAATATTTAGGCTGAGCTCTCTCTCAAACATAAACTAGAATCTGCAGAGTTTAAAAATATAGTGGGGCACTTCCTGATTTACCACATGACATCACAAGGTGCAACACAATGTTTTCCGTTTGAGAGAACTCATCTTAAATATGCAGGTTTGTGTGAATGAAACAAAACACAACTAGTAGTTTGTGATGAAGAAACAACATTATAACATTACAAAATATCATAATATGGGTGCTTTAAATTTGGAGACTAGCAGCAAACCAAATCATATCAAATCAAGAAAGAGAAGATCCCACCTACAGTATGAGTAGATGTTTTTCAAGGTATGTTTTGACAACTAAAAATGGCAAAAGTTATGAGATTAATGCCAGATTGTGGAACATTTAAGGTTAAGCAATGCCATTTTAATAGAGACAAGTTGCAGTTCCATAGAGCACCCTTAACTTTGTTAAGGAAGTGCAATAATAATAAGCCAAAGACAACAGTATCAACAATCTAGATCCCTGTCTCATTACATTAGCAAATACATGATTTCTATAGTATTTTTACATATTTTAATCTCAAATTTACAGCATAAATAAGATCAGTAAAGATGAATTTAAAAAAATAAACAAAACAAAAGGTTGTTTGAGTAGTGTCTTTAAATAAATTTGCTGAAACTTGAGAGCCCTGTCTGGACTTGTCTGAGCCTGTCATATTTTCTATTGGCTCTCAAATCACACTTTCGTCTTAATGGAGAATACCAGATTAAAACGACAGGAAGGATGTTACATGAGAATACTTGTATTATTGCACTTCTAGGCAGAAATTCACAGGTGCCAGGTAACCACATACTGTGGGGTACAAAAGAACCCACATCCCTCATTTTGATGTTTTAAGCCTGAACAGATGGAACTCCACTGAAGCTCCATTCTTCCTATAAGGGGCTGTCCATATTAATTGTGATTAAAATAAACACCATATCTCTTTTAATAGCAACTGGAACTGCCAGTCTCTAAACAAACACAGAGACTGTTTTGACTGTTTGATTATTTTATTATTTTGTAGATGAAGGTGTGACTTTTTCCAATGAAAATGAAACTTGTTTTCCTGTGAAACCTGCAGTGTCAACAAACTCCTATGTTAATTACTCTGAGAACAGCCCTGAAATCTCTTATCTTGTATAGTATTATCTTCACACGTTAGATAAAAGGCATTCCTTCAGTCATGAACATCATAATATTTATTCTGTATTCATTCTAATTAATAGTTGAGAGTTTAATTTAACATTTCAACATTGTATGTAACATTATAATGTCTGGTCACTGCTCAGCAGGAGGTTTTACAGTAATGGAAGCATTTCACAAACAGTAATAGTTCTAATATTAGGCTACTGGCTCACCTTTTATCCAAACCTAAAATTTTTTTTTTTACAAGAGCCTTAAGGTCTTACTGTAACACCAACGCAGATGGAAAATCAGGAAATTCATAAAAGAAATTATCAGAAACAACAGCAGCACACATAAACACACAGGAGGCTGTGATTGTTGGCAGAGTGGAGCGGAAATCCCCATGAAAGGACTGAGGGCTGAAGTAACTGATAGTAGAGGGAGGAGGAAGTCTACGTCACACACACACACCAGTGTATGCACAAACACACGTACACACACTGGATATTACCGGTAATAGCCGATGTGTTAAGTTTGAACACTAATTTAGATGTAGGCCTGAGTATAAATCTCCAGCCCATGACTGGAATAGTTGGCCTTCGAAATGTAAGCTAGGCCTATATCAGCCTATCATTTATATCATTTTAAAGCTTATAAGATCATTTTAAACTAGAATACACTCGACTCAAAATAAATTGAATGGATGTCAGATCAGCTCCCCCTGTAGCTTGGTTGTTTTTATAAGGACTTGTCTGGCACTGGCACTCTGATTCACCTCCGCTGAGTTAATGTTTGTTGACTCCTGCTGGGACGGCCCCACAGCTGGATCAACCCGCCATGTGACGTGATACAGAAATGAGCTATGACTCACACTTTTTGTCAAGGTTACGTTTAGACTTGGCCAACAGCCGGTTCCTCCCACGTATCCGTCCAGACTGTCTCTATAAAAATGGCACGAGTCCCCAGTGTTGACTCAAACGTCTGGATAAGTCAGGATCACTGACCACATGAAAGGGGACATGTACACTGGATTGGAGTGCGCTATTTGTTACCTGACCTACAATGGAGGACGCCGGTGTCCGCGTGAGCTTCACTGTAAACACACCTTCTGTGAGAGCTGTCTACTGGCGCTGTCCCGCGCTCCGGCGCACAGCGAGGCGCACAACGAGGCGAGCCGCGGGCCGGACCGTCCGGACAGGGCGATAGTCTGCCCGCTGTGCCGGCACACCACCTCCATCTCTGGCGAAGAGCAGATCAGAGCGGAGCTGAGGGTGGATGAGTGCGCCATGGAGCAGCTGCTGGTGACCGGGGTGCTCCTGGAGACGGAGGAGGAGTTACCGGAGGAGAGCCGTCAAGACCCGGAGGAGGAGCGGACACCGTGCGAGAGCACAGCCGAGGACAGCGACCTGTCAGGCGGCAACAGCAGAAGCTCGCTGCGGCGGACTTTGAGAAAAGTTTGGAAGAAAATAAGTGGAAAAAATTCGCGACAGACCGCAAATGACTCCACAGGTTGGTTCTAGTCTTAAACTTAAGTTAAAATAAACGAATAGAATAGGCAATACAATTACAATCAATCGGTTAAATGTAGTCTAGCCTACTTAAAGAATCACCTGTTACATAAAGTAGGTGTTGGATAGACAGAATAGGCATACAGTGTGTTGTAATGGAACAAATATAAATATCTAAAATGTGAATATTGTGTCTTTTGCAGATATGTCCGCTGATGACATGAGGAACTTCGCCTTGATGGCCTGCTACATGTTCTGACCTCCTCCATGTTCTGACCTCCTCGGACTCTGACTCCTGAACAATGTGACCCCGCTTGACTCTCACTCAAAAGAACTGAACTGGTAGAGCGAGTCAGCAAGACTACTGAATAGGCTTAATGAAGTCGGTGTTTGTTTGTGAAATTATATAACGCACATGTGAATTTACAATGCCTTTTTACTGTTGTCTATTTAACTTTATATATTTAAGAAAACAATAAATAAGTTATTTTACTGGCTGTGTTCTAATTCAGTTGAACTGAAACAATATTAATACTACTATATTCTAGAAAATAAAGTGCAGAAGTCCATGACAAAGAGCTGGAAGTGTTTTCAGCTGGTTTGACATACAGGTGATTGTCATTGCCCCCAATCACTCAATCAGTGACAGTCTTTAGTGTCGAGCGTCTCCTTTGTTTGACAGCTCCCCACCACAACTGTTAGTTTTTCTTTTGTCCGACTTAACCTGGGGGTCAACATGTTCACTTTTCTCTTTTCCAGGTAAACCAAAATGATTTTGATGAATATTTAAAAACATATTTCTGTTACAAACTCTTCCATATGAGACATCCCCTTTCTTTGCAGGGTGTCTTTTGTCATTGTCTTTGCCTGTGCAGCTGTAGTGTCTTTTATCATAGATTCACACGGTGCAAAGGGTAAGATTTCTGCCTCTATATCAATCTAAGCTGATGTTTTGTAAGCAGGCGTGCAGGTCATAAGAGGATAATTATTTGTCCCTCATACTGACAAAAGAATGTATTTGCACTATTTAAAATCCCTATGCAAAAATTAAAAAAAAGATTTAAGCCATATTATAATGGTACCACACCAATCAAAAATATACCCAGAGTTGTGTTTAGTTTCATTCACACATGCTTGAGTAACCCTTTATTATGAGTCTGTCTGCATCTCCTAAGCTCTAAATGCTCTGTTCTGTCTTTTGATGTTATGAAGCGGTAGCTATTTCTTTTTTTTTTAGTTTTAGTTCTGTAGAAATTGGCAAGTCCAGGACAGAAATTATCCAAATAATTTTAGTGAAGGTGTATAGAGTTTAAATCTCAGTGGAGCACTTCCTGTATAACCACAGGACATCACAAGGTGGAACAGAGTGTTTTCAGTTTTAGAGAAGAATGCAGCCTAAATAATGACATCATAAAATATCAATTAGAAAATGGTGTAATGAGGGCCCTTTAAAATTTAGTTAGTACAGTACATTTGTGCAGATAAATAGTTTTAAATTGTTTCTAGATTTGGGCTAATGAAAAAGATAAACATTTATATAGTAATCAAAATGTATCAAATTAAATATGCATAAATGAAATGCTGATTTGAAATTTTTGGCAAATGTCTTTAGATGATGATGTGGAGGGTCTGTCAAATGCTTGTCTTCATGGAGATGTTAATGTTTTGTCTGGAATGTTTCACAGTATGGCATTAAACCTTTTTTATCTTCACAGTCAGAGTACCTGTTCTCAATGTATTTTTAAGATGTAAAACCACCTGTAATTGAATATATGTAAGGTAGAGCTGTTTAATATCACACTGTGGAACATTCCAGGCAGCAATGACATATCCACAGAAACCAGCCGGTGACAGACCCTCCACCAGAAAAGTTACATAGTGAACCTTTTGAAGTAGTCTAGGGTTGTCAAAAAATCCCATCCATATAATAAATACTTGAACTACTATTGCAACTACATACTCAACTGAATAAGTATCAATTAATGTCAGAAAAAATATATAATGTGATATAATATTGGACATTTCCTGATACGTTTTATGGCCCTGCAATATTTCACAGCTTATAAAACACTAAATAATGTTTGTATTGATAGTTTGCAATCAGTCACTTGTAATCAAGATTGCCTGGAGGTGCGATGCTAACTGTAAGCACTACTCTGTCTGAATTTCTATTAGACTTTAATCTAATTTTTATTTTAACACAATCTAACCAGAAAGAGCTGATTTATTTGGAACTACAGGACCATGAACACCTCGACTGATCACAGGCTCCTGAAAATGAGTTTTTTAAATCCAGTTTTCAGACAGTCTCTTTTTTTTCTGTCTGTGTTTGCTTATGTGTGCATTATGTCACCATGGTAAATAAACATTCCACCAACAGAGATACATGTTGGGCACACCTAGCATGATGTTGCTGCAAAGTGTCCATTCAAAACATTCTGTTGTTCAAGGGAATAGTCTATCATTGCCATGGAAATCAGTATCCACCAGTAACCACTAACCACCACACTGTAACAAAGTAAAAGTAGTAAAGTACTGTACTCTTAGCTTTAAAGTGGATACTTTTTTGTTTTATACATTTGAGTGCAGGTAGTTTCTACTCCCCTACATTTTTGAACAAGACTGAAAAGTTCAAAGCATTTTTTATGATAGCTTGAGATTTGCTGAAAAGGCCGAGGTTTTATTTTTACCATGGTCATAATTTGAGCAAAGAAAATGGCTAGAAAAAAATTAAACAAAACAAAAAACGATTCAGCTGTTTCTGTTGTGCAAATTTCAGCACAAATCTTTACCAAAATCATTACATTTGAGGTTTTATTAGATCTGAAAATCTATGTGAAATACTTTTACCTTTTACTCTTTAAGTGCATTTTTAAGCAGGTGCTTTAATACTTTTACTTAAGTAGATTTTTTTCATGTGATACTTTTACTTGTGAGTATTTATTTGCGCCAGTATCTGTACTTTTACTTAATAATCAAAATCGATTACCTCATCCACAACTGTTTATGCATAGCTGCAATATACATATAAACAAATCAAACTTTATTGAGCCCTTTACAACACTGACCTAAGTGCTTTCACGTAATACCAAGACGATATAAAAACATTAAACAATGAAATAAAACAAATGTATAGTAACACATTTTTGTTATGTTTTCAGCCTTTCCCAGTGTTGCCCCAATAGACAGTGGGGTGGAACCAGTCTTAAGATCATACAAGCACTTCAGTCTGCTGTCATCTGAACCAGGAAATCAACCTGGGAATGTCCCTGAAACTCCAAAGAACTGGAAGGCTCTTAATAATAGAAATGCTCCAGCAATCATTTATGTCCAGTCAAACGCGCCTAGAAAAGGACTCGTGAGTTATAACCCAAACTCACAACACAACCAGCCCCACTTTGAGAGAATGACTCAAGTTCACAAAGGTCAAAACTTGGGTGGAGTGAAGCCAGCCAGCAGCACTCGCTCAGACCTTTCTAGAGTCAACCCTAACTCTTTTTTCCAGAGCCAAACTGATGGATCTAACAATGGCAATTCTCAGTCTTGGCTTGCACCATTTTTCTGGAAATTGCCACAAGAAGAAAGAGCCCTCCCTCAAAGTCCTTCACAAGTTCAAAAAGCGTATGATTATCAAATTCCCAGAAGTGGTCCATCAGCATTTCTCGAAAGCAGAAGTGAAAATAGATTTGACTGGCAATCCCCCAATCTCCCAAGGTCCCCTGTACCATTCAGAAGAAGTGGGTACTGGAGTTTACAAAGCAAAAATTCAAAGAGGGATGACGAAGACAGTAAAGGAGGACATGCTGGAACAAGTGGGATCCAGTCAAATAAACCTCCCAGCTTTTTACACCATAGATCTTCTCTTTTGTCACCAACGAGCACCAGTTTAGACTCAAGTGAGATTAAGCCTGAGAAAACAATATCATCCATCACTGCGAAGTCCTCCCAAAGCGAAATCTCACCAAACAGCAATGTAAAGACCAGCTACAAAAGAGTCCAGTCTTATCTTCTCCGCAATATCCACACTACAATAGCTCCCATGGGAGTGAAAACCCAAAATTCTCTTTATAATCTTCACAGTGGTCAAGATTTTAATCAACAAATCAAAGCTAATTCTATGCTGTTACACCGTGAAAACCAGTTTGGGGGCCATGTGGGCGATGTAATGAAGTATGACCCGGCATCTGTCATTTATAGAGCTCCGAAAATGGAAACCCTAACGTCTTACGAAGACCCAAATGGCGCTAAACAAAACGCTAAAGAAGCCAAAAGTAGCCTAGCGGACACAGGAAGGCCCCAGAATCCTTTTGAGAATGTGCAACCAAAAAGTTCAAATCCAAGTTCAGGTCTTGCAGGTTGGCCAGTTTTGAAGAAAAATAGTCTGTCAACTATTAATTCCAAAGAGGCTAATTCTGAAGCTAGGACTTATAGATTTATGCGTCCGTCTATGTTGCAAAAGTACAGTTTTGGACAAAGGTTAGCAGGCCCCGAGAAGACTTCCAGACATTTTGGTTCTTCGGAATTTTTAGATGCAACAACTTCCAAGTCATCCTCCTTGCAAGATTATGGATCAGCAAACAAGATTAAAGCAGAAGATAATTTAAAATCTGGAGCTGTCAGTAGTCTTGAACTCGATGAACAAAAGAGAGACGGTAAACCACGTACAAAATCAGCAGATATCTTAAAATTGGTCACACTGACAAGAATCAAGTCCCAGTCTAAAACAGGTAAACACGAGACAACTACATCACCATTTAATAGAAGATACAAGCAGGGGAAAGCCAAAGATCTGGAATTCAAAGCAGTTACTTATGATGATATTATTGGAAGCGCGTCTTTTAGTAGCGTCATGCCTGAAAAAACAATCACACACAGCGACCATTTTGAAAAACCAGAAACTTCAGCTAAACAAAATAAGAGCATGGACTTGTCAGATGTGGATGTGGATGGGAAAGCAAGTACTACTAATAAAAATGCATCTGTGGGCCTTTCTGTTGGTGGGGAAAGGGCAGATTTTAAAGGAGAAGCAGAAGCAGAGACTGAAACAGGAATATCAGATTTGAGAGGGAGTAAAGAGGAAAATGAAGCCAAAAATGTCCCTCAAGAGCTACCGTCGGATCCTGAGGAGACTATAGAAAGTGACAGTTTGCTGGAGTTGGAATATCTCCGAACATCGACTGGAAACGTCTCTTTCCAGTCCTTAAATCTTAACCTATAATTAATTTAATAAAGCCTATTACCTAAACCTATATGGTGTTCTGGGATTTCCTCTACAGGGTGTGTGATTCTCAAACTGCGATCCCTCACGCTCACAAATATTAGCTTAATTTAGAATCTTGTTACAAGGTGTGTGGAATAATATTGACATACTGATTAATTTGATGATATATATTGATTCAGCAGTCCATGATATCAATACTGTATCGCCAAGAGTAATTTTTGGTGTAGTTTACTAAATTAATTTGTGTAAAAGCTACAAAAGTGTTGACATTTTCACTGTTTTGATGAGTAAATTTGGTGTTTTTCAAATTAATTTAGCATAAACTTTGTGGTTTTAGTGTCACAGCCATGATTTAGCCTTTTTTTTCACTGAACCATATCAGATCAATGTGAAATATATCATCGAATCATGTTGAATCGAAGGTTCACTGTATCGAAAAGTGTATCGTATCGTGACCTATGTATTGAGGTATGTATCGTATCGACAACTTCTTAATGATACCCGGCCCTACTTGTTAGTCTCAGAACATACCTGGACTTGTGTTTTGTTTCATTCATGTTTGAGTAGCCCTTTATTACTAGTCCACATCTCAAATGCTCTTTTCCACCTTATGATGTCATGAGGTGGTAGTTTTCAAGTTAACAGCTACCTTTTAGTTTCAGTTCAGTAGAGATCAGCAATTCCAGGGCTGAAATAATCCAAACAGGCACTATTCACACTTGCATCACAAACCAGGAAGACATGTAAACATGTGACGACAACTTCCGGTGTAATTCCCGACACTGGCCTGGACAGACCGACTGTGACCAGCCCATTGAGGTCAATATTATCAGCGGTAAAATGAAGACTGCATATGTATGTGCTGTTTTGAATCATCTTGAATTTGGTGCCTCATCTCTTCTAATCACATGTACCCAGTGCGCTTGGAGTTGTGTTTCAGTGGGGAAATGATAAAAACTGAGATGGTTATAATTGTTGGTTAGATGAACATAACAGAATGCCACAATGACATGTAGCTGAAGAAAACTGGGCCATTTTCTATTTTTTCCTAGAATTTGTCAGACTAAGCATGAATAGAGCTTATTATAGTGAAGGAGTAGGGATCCTCAAAACACAGGAGAAGCACGTCTTGTAGTACCACATGACATCACAAGGTGGTGGAAAGAGTGTTTTCAGTTTGAGAGAAGTCTAACATGTGTAAATTAAACAAATCACAAAATCGAATAATATGGGCCCTTCTAAACTACAATTTTGTCTTCCTTTGTTTTATTTCTTTAAAACTAGTACAGCAATTGTGTAGTCCTCCTAGCTTGTTTTTTAGTTTAACACTGTCCAGTCCAGTTATATTCTTAGGCGGTACATTGAGAAAAGTCTGAGATGTACTGATTGAAATACAAAGGTCCAGGTTCTAACATTTACTCTGACTCGTGCAACTGACATGGGGAGATTAGAAGAGTTTTTAGTCACAAATACTCTGTCATTTTATTGACGCAACGTTTAAAATGTCAAATTGTGTAATATCAAATTGGGTTGAACCTTTAGACAGAATTCTTTCTAGTGTGATGTGTAGGAATAGTGCAGGACTCTCTAAGTGAGGGGTGTCAAACTCAAATTCACAGAGGGCCAAAATTAAAAACAGACTAAGTCGTGGGCCAAACTAAATAATTTATTTAAAAATTTCAGCAACATCTGCATGTTTTCTCTTCTTTCGAGATATGTAATTCTAAACCTTTTCTTATTAAAATGCCTATCTGTAGCTTGCGGGCCAGCTCTAATACATATTTGATATGAACTCGAGGGGCAGTTATAATTACATTGCGGGCCAAATTTGACCCCCGGGTCTGAGTTTGACATGTCTGCTCTAAACTCTGTAAAATTCAACAAGTTTTTCAACATTTCTTCACAAATTGCTTCTTGATTGGTTTAAAACTATCAATTTATATTTAAAACAGGTATCTCACCAGATTAAGTCAAAATCTGAAAGTCATCAAAACCTGCCATAAGCACTTTAAAGGTGCACTGTGTCACTTTTTGTTTGGGGATTTCTATGGATATGTCATTGCTCTGCTTGGAATATTCCACAGTATAACATTAAACAGCTCTACCTTACATTTATTCAATTACAGGTGGTTTTATAACTCAAAAATAACTGCAAAAACATTCTGACTGTAAGTGGGGTTGCCTCTCCAAAGATCTGACCTGTAAATTAGCATGGTTTGGTCTCCATGAAGACAGAAAGGTTTAATGCCGCGCTGTGAAACATTTCAGACAAAGCAATAACATCTCCATGGCGAAAAGCATGTGATGGACGGACCCTTCACCAGAAAAGTTACACAATGCACCTTTATGTTAACAGTCAAATAGCAAGCTGTATTGAGTGTGACTGGCAGTAATAACAAAATAAAATGATTAAACATTATGAAAAACTTTGAAATAGTTTCCTTGAAGTATGGCCTCCATAAAGAAAACCATATTCACAGCACATAGGGTTCATTCATCTCATACTGTATAAATTTGGTCTCCTATGGCAAAATGTCCTCCATAATTCATTTCTGCTGTACCACATACTTCACCACTGACCTTGTGTCATGTGTAAATGGTGACCTCTGCTCTTGTGTAGTTAAGCTCTTGGGGGGGAAATAAAATCTTGAGATACAGGCTGTAAGGACTCAGGAAGGTCACAGAGGTTGGACCATTCCCCACAATTACAGTGATGTGAATAATGTTATGTTAAGAATAAAGTAGAAAAGTTGTGGAGAAGGTCACACTCGAGGCTTTTTATAAACTCGCACTATTCCCATTTCTTGTGTCCCAATTCCCAGACAGAGGTCACCAAGTTTGTATAGCTGACACATTTTCCATTCTGGACTTTTCCATGTTAGTCTATAAGGAATAACTATAAAAGCAAATGGAAGACTATACCATGGAAATATAATATCTTGGTCATTTGATTTAAAGGGCTCATTTTGCACTCTTTTCTGGAATGCCAGTCTCTGCTGAGCAAAAAGTAAAAGGTACCTGTTAACTAGAAAAGTACCACTACATGACATCACAAAGTGTAACAGAGCATTTTAAGCTTTGCAGACAGATTAATAATAAAGGGTTACTCGAACACGTGTGAATGAAACAAAACACAACTCCAGGTATGTTTTTGAGGAGGTAATAATGTTCTAACATGGCTAATAATAAAATAATAATAATATATTTCCTTTAAAAGCAGAGCTAAAATTGCATAAACAACTATTACATATCAGCAAGCTCACTTTATTAAAATATTGACAGTGGCAATGACGCGTTCAAGGGCCTGTACACGTACTGTGCGTACCTTGAATGTCCCATTGAATCCAAATTGACGTCAAGTTACGCATGGATGAGCGCGACAGTGATTATTGACCAAACTGTTCACTACTTTACTTCTGTATTAAATCCTGTTCCTTCAGATGAGTACGCACTGGACCTAGACGAGCACCCGGACTTCTTTTCTCCCTCCCATCCCAGCATGCGCTCTCTTTCTCTTTCTCTCTCCCTCATCTTAGTCAATACGTTCAGGGCTGTCAGGGACGCATAATCAAACGTTTTAATTCACTGTTCACTGTGGGAAGTCCTAATCCCTGGCCTTTCTGTTTGCATGTTTCTCCCCGTGTCTGGGTGGGTTTCCTCTGGGCACTTCGGTTTTCCCCATCAACCCAAAACATGTACCAAATCCTCCAGCTAAGGTAGTCCTGACCAAGCCAAGAAACAAGATCAGAGATGGGTTCCTCGGGCGCCCCATGTGCTGCCCACTGTTAATTTTCTACAGTTGTATATGCACATTTATATATTTACACTGTGATGTATATGTGTGTTATTAATTGCGCTGATCGAGCCTTGTGAGCATATGAACACTTAAGCCTCCAACAATGTTTGTGTTTATACCATTGTATATTACTTTGTATATTTGAAATAAAAAAATAAAAAAAAAAAAAAAAAATGTGCTGCCCACTGCTTCTGAAAGGATGAGTGAAATGCAGAGAATTTCCCTACATGGATAATAAAGTACCACAAAACAAAACAAAAGCAAACTATAAACATGAGAAGATGACATACACTTCTTCAGTATGGTCGCTCTCTGGGTGTACGTAAATTCACCTCTCCCTTCCTCCTGCCCTCAGCTTGTGTCAACATCTTTGCAGAATAAACTACTGATAACTCACCATGTTAGCAAGACACACGAGCCAGGAGTCATGTTTAACTTTTTAGCCGATAGCCGCAATGCCCGACGCTTTATTATATTATGACAGTGCGTAACATTGCGCACGACAATGTGAGAAACTGAATGAAACACTGCACACATCAGATGGGAAAGGAAAAGAGCGAGAGACCTCCAAATTCCCATGTGTGCAGACTCAGCGGAGGGTCTGTCATCCACTTGACTGCGCGCACCTCTCCAAAAATCCTGCTCCTGCACAGTAGCACGCATTGTCCGCTAGATGGAGCCGTGAGAGCATTTTAGAACACAGTACACGCGCATGACCTTAAGTACAAGATGACACATGCTGCTGCAGGATTCTGATAACTTTTCTGCTAAAAGACAAAATGTACCCCCACAATTCCCAAAACGAACCCAGCGTCACGTGCTTATTACCCGCCCCCCTCCGTATCTTATTTCAGGGTCGCTGGGTGCACACTGGACCCAAATTGCGAGCTGTTTCACACGCCCTCACCCTTCACCTCTCTCCAGACAGTCACCCTTTTAATACCCCCTTATACGTTTGTACTTAAGCAATAGCAGGGGCCCAAATACGAGGGGCTCTGCTATTCAGACCTCTAAGTATGCATTTGTCGGCTGGATTAGCGCCACACGGTCTACTACTGTATAAAATATCAGTGGGAATAATGATGAAAGGAGCCTGGAAAGACCCTTATTTTTGTAGGTACAGTGATGCCTGGTGACTGGCGTGTCGTGTTTGGGCAAGTCTTTAAAAAGTAGCTCGTTTTGTGGCGCGCTTTTGTGTTGGTGAAGGCTTTACGCATCTGTTACGCACACTC